GGTTTATTTTATTAAAAAAAATATTAATAATAAAGAATTACTTTCATTTCCGGAAAAAATTTTAGCCGTTAAAAAACCGCAAAAAAATAATATTAAAAAACCGTTTTTTTTAAATAAAAAACCGAAAATTAACGCAACTTTTAAAAATATAATATAATCCCGGATTATGGAAATTAATAATTCCGATTCGGATTTTTAATAAACTTTAATAATTTATTTTATTAAAATTTATAACTTTATTAAAATGAACTTATATAATCCGTAGTTATTAAAAAATTAAGTAATAAAATTAATTTAAAATTAAAAAAAAAAAAAACCTTATAAATTAAAAACGGGTAAAAAACTTATTATAATTATAAAAAATATAAAATTAAAATATTATTAAATATAAATAATTTTATCCCTTTAATATTTTTATTTAAAATAAAAAAATGAAAATTATTTATTATTAAAAAAATTACCCCGAAAATAATAATAATTTTTAATAATACACTTATATTTAACATAAGTAAATATTTTTTAAAACCTATTATATTATAACATTAAAAGAATTATTTTTTACGAATTAACTTTAAATTAAATAATTTTAATAATAAAATAAATATTATTTTTCTTTATTAATAAATAAAAATTTATAAACCGGCATATTTTTTTATTAATTTTATAAAAATAAAATTTATTTTTAAATATTATTAAAAGAATTATATTAACTTAACTTTTTAAAAAATATAAAAAATTATAATAATACGTGATATTAAAATAAAGGAAACTTTAAAATCCGTATTTAAAAAATTTTATAAATTTATATATATTATAATTAAGGAAATAAAACGTTAATTTCCGAATTATTAATTTTAAAATTATTTAATTAATTTAATAAAAAAAAAACATTTTTATAAAGTTTTTTTTATATTATAAATAAAAAAAAACTTAATATTTTAAAACTTTAATTAAAAAAAATATTTAATATAAAACGAATTAAAAGGTTAATTTTTTTTTACGAAACATTTATAATATTTATTAATAAGTTAAATCCGAAAAATTTATTTAAATTAATTATTAATTATTAAAAGTTAAATAATATTATCGTACTTATTTATTATTTTATTTTTTTTATTATTAAATTTTAAACTTAATTCCGAATTATTAAATAATATATTAAAATTAATTTAAAATCCGGATTTTATTTTATATAAATTAAAAAAAATAATAAATGAAAAACGATATTTTAATATAAATATAATTTATTTAAATATTTTATAATATTTTTTAAATTTATTAATACATTTATAACTTTTTAAATTATAATAAATAATATTTTTAAAGATTTTATTAACGTAAAGTTATTTATTTATTTTAATAATTTTTTAATTTATATTAATATTATTAAAAAATATAATATATTTATAAAAGAAATATTAAAAAAATTTTCGAAATATTATTTTATTATAAACTTAAGGAAATTTTTTTAACAAGTATAAAAAATAAAATTTTTCGGATATATTATTAATATTAATAACATTTTAATAACGTAAAATAAAATTAAATACATTAAAAATTAATAAGCTTTAAAATTTTTAAAAGAATTTTAATAATTTATAAGTTTTACGAATTTTTACCGTTATTTTATTAAAAATCTTTCTAAAATAATATAACTTATTATTAAAATAAATAAAAATAATAAATAAAATTAAAAATAAATTAAAAAAATAAATAAAACATTTAAAATTTTTAAATATTATTTCATTTAAACTTTAATTATAACATATTTTAATCCCGCGAAATAAATATATATAAAAATAAATGCTTTTAATTATATTTTTAACGTAATATTTTTTTAAAAAAATAATAATAAAAAGTTATAACCCGTTATTTTTTATTTCCGAAAACTTATATTAATAAAAATAAATTATAAAATTTACGATAAAAAATTTTTAATAATAATAAATGTTTTCGGTAAATAATATTAATATTTAAAAGGAATTAAACACCGTATTAAAATTTATTTAAATTATTAAAACTTATCGTATTTTATTACCGTAAAAGTTTTAAACCGACGTTAAATGTATTAAACTTAAAAACTTTTATTATATTAATTTATAATAAATTATTAACCGGGTAAATAAAATAAAAAAATTAATATTTTATTAAAATTATTATAATATTATTTTAAGAAAAGGGGAATTAAGGATTAATTTATTAAAGCGGTTTTATAAAAAAAGCATTTTTCGCATTTATAAAAATTTTTTTTTTTTTTTTCCCCCGTTATTTTTATAATTTCGGTAAAACTTTATAATATTTTAACTTTTAAATGGTCCGAAAAATTCATTAACCGGCTTAAAAAAATAACTTAATAAAACTTAAAATATATTTTATAATTTAAAAAACCTTTTAAAAATATAAAAATTATTAATAAAATCTTATATAAAAAAAACCGTTTTTAAATTTTAATAAATTTTTAAAAAGAAATTATTTTTTTAAAATATAATATTTTTATAACCGGGTATATAAATATAAATAAAACTTTTAAATTAATTATTCGGAACTTTTAATAATTAAATATTAAATTTATTATTAAAAATTATATACGAAAATATTTAAATTATTAATAAAATAAAATTTAACGTTATATTTTTTTTAAATTATTATAATTTATAAAATTATATTATACTTTTTAATAAATTATAATTATGGATTTTATTATAAATTTATTATTATTAAACGGTTATAATTTTATATAAATAATAATAAATATTTTTATTAAAATAATATATTTTATTTTTTTTAAAAAAAGGGAAAAAAAAATTAAAAATTTAATATAAATTTTTATTAAATAATATTAAAAATTATATAATATTTTTTTTAATATAATTTTTAATTAAAACTTTAAATTTATTACTTATTTATAAAAAATTTTTTTTAAATTAATAAATATTAAATTTTATATAAATATAATTTTTTATTTATAAATTAACGGTTAAACCGAACGGTTAAATTAAATTTTTAAAATTTATTTTTAAATTTTTATTAATTACGAAATAAATAATTAAGAAAATTTATTCGTTATTATTAAGTTTATATATAATAACATTTTTTCGGTTTTATTTAATTTTACTTCTTTTTATATAAATTACGGTTATTATTTAATAACTTATAATTTATTAAACGGGGTATTTCGGAACTTAAAAAATAAACCATATATTTATTAAATAATTTAAATGTATAAATAAATTAAAAAATAATTAAAAAATAATTATTAATATATAAAAAAATGAATTAATAAACGACGTTAAAAAACTTTTATATATAAATAAAATTAATTAATTATATTAAATGTTAAAAATATTAAAATTAAACGCCCCGTTAAAAAATTAAATAAAAAAATATTTAATTTTTTTAAAATTTAAAAAATAATTTTTTTTATTATTATTAAATTTATTTTATTTATAAATTAAAAAATTTATAACTTATTTTATATTTTACTTATTAAATTTTATCGCATTAATAATTAAAAAATATTTAACTTTAATTAAATTTTACGAAAAATAAACTTAATAAAATTCGAAAATTATTAAATAAATAAAATAAAAAATTTTATTAAAATTTAAAATAAAATAAAATATTTAATTAAATAAGAAAATTAATTAATTAAAAAGCATTAAATTTAAAAATTATTTAAACATATAATTAATAAAAATATACGTAAAATAATTAAAATATTTTATTAATTATATCCCGATAAATTTTAAAACGAATAAGTTATAATTTAACGTTTAAAAATAAGTTTTTAAAAAAAAAAATTAATATTATATAATGATAAATGCCACGCTTTTAATATATATAAAATATAAAATTATTAAATTAAAATAAATAATTTATTAATTATTAAAAATAATTATTAAATTATTATATATATGTAAAATTAATTAATAAAATGTTTATAAACGTTTAAAGCGTTAAAGTTCGGATCTTAAGCATAGTAAATTAAACTTAAATAATTAAAACGATCCCCCTTCAATAAAGAAGAGAAGATTAAGGACCTAAGACCCCTAAAGAATTATTACATGAATTGAACCTATGTTCCAAGCCTATTCCCCTTGTCACAGGCCTTAAGTGTAATATCATAACTAGAACATGTCCTCTTTGCTCCCTCTTCCGCCCTGTCAGGGGCATAAGTGGAGAGGGAGAAGCAGGCGCTAGCCTGCGGCTAGCCTGCGGCTAGCTAGCGGTTAGCCCGCAGATATATAAGGGAGGCTTCGCCCCCCTTAGATTTAAGAAGGGTTGCGCGATACTTTAGTCACTAATCTACCCATTTGCTACCTACTTGCTACCTCTCACGTTGACTTGCCGCCCCAACTTGACACGCCCACCTCGGTACTCCAATTTCTGATATCCCTAGCACTCGCTATATTGTGCTTCCAGGCTAGCTGGTTTAGAAGTGGCTCCAGCCTCTTGTGCTCTTTGGCAACTTCATACGAGGTAGCGTGCAGTTGAGGCTTAAATGATTTCTATCAGTTTGGCTGATGTAGGGTGTCTTCTGGCCCCCGCCCCCCCAAAGAAAGCTGCTAAGCAAGCCATGAATTGTCAGCTCTCCTTGGCAAGAAATCATCGCTTGAGGCTCCGAGCTTACAAGCAGAAAGGCTGCAGCCGGCATGGCGTTGTATTGCAATGATTAAACAAGGGGAATGAATGGTTGAAGTTCTTCTACCTGCAATGGACATGCAGATATTCAAGCGCGCCATGCGCCCATGCGGTCTAATGAGAAGAGGCTTCTAATGCATACATGGCCGCCCCAAAGCCTTGTCTAAGCGCTCAATTATTATTATGGGATGGGTGCATGAATATAGTTTGGTATCAAGTTGATTTGGGGATATGGGCGCAAGGCTGGCGGGAAGGGTTGGAATTTCAAAACACCTACCTAGTACCTATTATAAATATGAGGCCATCGCAGTTACTTGCCTGCCTAGAACATACCTGATACGTAGGTTTATATCATTCGTGAACATCGTTCTCTCATCATTGTGCCACCTGTTTTTTTGCTCCATTTCAAATCACATTTGAACTCGTCCGGTAGAGTTTACTACCTTTACAGCTAACAATGGCCTGGAAGAGAGCATACAGACCCGTCAACAACCAAAGAACCGCCAATATGTCGACCAGGGGTCAGAAGCCGAAGAGCTTGTTGCCCCTATTTTGTCTATCGCTTATGCTGTGGATTATTGTTGGGGCTATCAGTAGTAAGAAACCCTCGACCTCGTTAGTATCGTCATGGTTCAGCTAACCTAGTCGTAGTCTATATAGCTGCGGGTTGCCTTTACAACAACTCGTTATACATCGTTCAAGTTCACAGCAACGACACGATTCCTGTACAGGTTCAACTTGGATATTTTGGTGAGCCTTCTGCCAGACCATTGTGCCTTCTTACAACTCAATCGCTAATATCGGTTTATCATTAAGGTACCTGTGTCTCGACCAATACCAATGCCGACGATTTCGATTCCAACACCACCAAAACGGCTTGCGTCCAACATCTTCAATACGATGATGATGAACCCTTGGTATCGCAATTTGTGGAAGAGCTGACAGAGGAAAACGAGGACGCCAAAGTCCCCGACATTGAAGAACCCCTTAGCAAGATCCTCCCCATAGCGGAGCAGTTGCGGCTCAAGGTCTTCCCAGCTGGCGTGCCCATCAGCTTCCTCATCATCTACCTTCTCAGCATCTTCACTTTCTGGATCCTGCTCGCATCCTCGAACCACACGAAGACATACAGAGCCACCTTTGCTATTACCGCGCTGCTGAATGCCTACAGTCTTACCATTGGCTTCATTGTGGCGACTACAACATTTCAAGCATGTAGGGCGCTGATCTTTCCCTCTCAAGGCGACACCGGAATCATTCAAGAAGGCGTGTTCGTCACACAGAATGCTATGCTACAGACTCTGCAATGGGTCGTTGTCGCCATATCCGTTTTTCTCCAGTTTTGCATCGCAGGCCTATTCGTGCAGCGTCGTGCCTCCGGTGGTGAAGCATCTCTCATGCCATTAATCAGCATCAAGAGCTACAGCTGCTGCTGATCGGCGATTGATAGGCCAACTTTCGCGTGTTATTCGCATATTTCTGGTAACCATTGACTTTGGTTTGAACGAAATAAGGGGGCTGGAATCTGGATATTCATGTGCTATTATTAAATTCCTGTTACTGTTTACGATTGTGTTTTACAAGTTGACAGTTAAGTTTTTTGTGTTTGGCTAAGTTAATATAAAAACCCTCAGCATTTTCATTATTATTTAGTGTAAGGAACTCCTTAACTTTAGTGTTATGATATAGTTAGCACCTAAGTAGCAAGTAGGATTGTTAAAAGGGGCTGTTAAGGTACTGAACTTCACATTGTGAACATTCTTGCAAGGTAAATATATTATAAATTATGAATGGTAATATCCAAAAATGTATGTTATTATTATACTTTCATGTACTCGAATATGATACGATCCCACATAAACTGCCTAAATCATTTCAAAAAAAAAAAAAAAAAAAAAAAAAAAAAAAAAAGAGCTGGAAGTATTTCTAAGTCCTTGGCAATAGGTGAGGTCGTTGGAGCAATGTTTGAAGTGCTGAGAACCTAGTGGACCTTCCTCCAACTCGACACAGTTCTGCATAAAGGTAGATTCACCATGTCCATCTAAAGAAGGTATTAATATTGCACTTTCAGGAGGTAGTAGGGCAACATCGATAACACATGGATACTAAAGTCTATAACGCCGGTAAATCCCTAATGGTACATTTTACGGTTATGCAAATTGTCTTGGCTGCTGTCGTGTCTATTTAAAGATGGTAGCTATATTATACTTCCGGTAGGACAGCATCAATAGCGCATGTACATGACGGAAACGGTGGTAACACTTGAAGCATGATATTCACAAACTGGAAGCTACCTATCGGGAATTGATATCACATGTCAGGTGCAAGCCGTGTCACATTGGCACTGCCTATTTACAGCGTTTGCGTCTAAAGAAAGGATGTAAGGCTGTCCTGCTAAGACGGGAAGTAAAGCCGTAAGACTTTGAAATTGATAATTACAGCCACCATGCAATGTTTCGTCAACTTTAATAGCTACCTAGGTACCTACTCAGTGGTTTTAAGTTCCAATGTAAAGCCTGCATATTCCATGCGTGGTCATCGAGGAATGGGGAATGTGGGGAAACAATTGGGCGGTATAATATTGGTTTCTTCAAACTCGCTGTTCTTTTTCCCCTCATTACCTCCATATAATTTTACTTTAGAAGCGCGCATAACTAACCGCCACTGGGGGCCACGCTTGGGGGCACGATAACCCTGAGTTTGGCCGAGCTGAAGGCTCAAATCTACACTTTTACAACCTTTAAACCTGTCAACACACAACGCGAACTGCGAGCCGCGCCAAGCGCGCGCTTCGTAGTTCGCAATGTCGGTTACATTATGGCCTCCCCCTTCAAACAGTTCACTAATTGTCCCTGGACTAAGTCAACTTCCAGAATAACTTCATGTAAAGCGTCCATTCAGTCACGCCATTGCAGCCTTAACCACGGCGAATGTAGTCCAGCTAAGCTCTTTAATCTACCTGAGTTATTATTAACCTTCAAAGATATAAGTTTCAAGTTTCCACCCCAACACGGGGATATGCCTTATCCCTTCTACAGCCCTGAACTCGCTGTACAATTCGGTACATTTATGAGACTCAAAACTTACTTAGTATTATACCCCGCACTGCAGATCATTCTCCACCTTTATGGGGGTTAAGAAAGGCAGCAAGCGGAGCATTATGGGGAATTGGGGTCTATACAGGGATATGGATAACTCCCCTTACCCATCTCCCAACCCCCACCGACACCATAACGTGCTTCCATCAGCGTCCTAATCTTTACCCTTCCTGTTTCTAGCTTAAAGCGACATGGCGTCACCACTGCACCGCCATCAATCGTCCCTCGAAGGCACTATCAATTTCTCTGCGAAGCTGCCCTTAGGGACAGTCTAGCGCACTGTCGCCAAGCGCAGGTTTCAACGTATCATCGAGAATTTCAAGACCAGCAGTAAGAACAATGATGGCAGTCCCTATAAACGTCCTCAACTCATCCACTTCACCTACGAATATGCACTTTCCGATGAATCCCGCGACAATCTATTGCACGTCTTTATACGGGCTATGGCGCTCTCGATAGACGATAATGACGAAGGCATCAATCTCGAGGAGTTTTGCTCAACTTTCTCTATCTTCGTAGATTATCTTCTAGATAATTTCATACTGCCGTGTATAACCCCGTGTATAAATTGTCTATTGCATTTCTTCATCAATGCTCACATTTCTTAGTAAGAACTACCACCAGAAAGACGCCTCAACCTATCTCGATCTTCCATTCCGCAGTCCAGGAGACGGAAGGGGCAGTAGCGCAGAGTTTCGCGGAAACGCCGACACTCGCGTCTGCTCTGCGGGATGATTGTCGTGTGTGTGTATGCCCGCTATCTTATTGTGATATCACGAAAATTCGACGACGCTATAGCGACAAGTCGCTTTGATTGTGACAGTGATGATGCTCGAGATGAAGACGGAAATTTATTGTCGGAAGCCTCGTTCGATGTTTTGGAAGTTGCCCATATACTTCCACATCCCTTGGCCGAAGTCAATTTAGGCTCCCCTTCCAATATTGCCCCTTCCCCCTTTAGATAAACCTTGCCCAGCATCCTTCTAAAGAAGCGGCGCTCGCATTTCTTAACATGTTTGACAACGGTCTCACACACCTAATTGAAGGCGCCGAAATTGACCGGCCACGCAATACCATCACCCTTACTCACACGGCATTAACAATTTGGTGGCTTCCGGATTTTCTTTGAACCCGATAACCAGCAGTCACCTAGTTACTGCATTAACTCATCTCTTTCCCGATATATCTCTCGAGATCTGGGCCTTCCTATCACCCGCACGCTTTATCTTACCAGTACCCGGACAATCGACCCTTCCCTCCCCTCGACTTCTAGCCATCCATAACGCCATGGCACATATTCTCCACCAGCCAGCGGGGGAATACATCGACAGGTTGCTCCGGAATATGGACGAGAGAGGCATACAGGCGGATGGGTCCACCGAGCTGGACCGCATGTTGAAGCTTCGGTTGGAAAGTATAGCTGCGTAGTAATTCTGCCTTTAGCCGGATGATATGAAGAATGGGCTACTTGCTACAGGGAGAGTCTGCGTTAAGTTTTCGCTCGGACAAGAATCGTTAACCGTGCTGGTTGAGATTTGTATGGCTCCCCCTATTTATATGAGGGGCTACACCAAAAACATATCCTTTTCAAACTTGAATATCTCTACCAGTTCAAGTGCCAGAAAATAGAAATAAATTACAGTTAATTATAAGATGTTATTGAATAGATCTATATATTCTTTTCTTGATTGGAGGTGGTCTACCTGTGATGATTAGAGAGGCAATCTAGGTTCATAGCCCCACATATCAAGTTTAGTGTAAGTCGCGCCAGGAAGGTCTAAAACTATGATATTAAGGTTATTAGACTTTATTGAGGAGTTTATATAAGTCATATATCTCTAGCTACTTAATTGATGAAACTATTTGCGAATGACCTTTCGCCATACGAATTTTTTGTATGGCGGAAGATACACCTTGCAACAACTAATGCCCAGAACGGGCTGTGATCTCGAAACTAATATAGAACTTGTAATAGCTTCAACATATATATTGTAGGTTTCAAGAGATTCTAAAGAGGAAGTGCCATATGATCACTACCGCTTATTTTGTATGGAAGATAATATACCTGATAATTTCAGTGCGGAAACAACTCCCATTTACTTCAAAGTAAAGTAAGACAACAGACAGGCAGGAATGAGTCTCTGAGTATACCTAGTTCCAATTGAATAGTAGCTTTAGCCGATATGGCCGAAAACAAAGAACCTGGGGCTATGACGGAGGCTCACACTCGGCTCAGGTTAAAGCAGCAACAGCTCATAGAGGCTCAGGGCAACTCAGGTTTATTAACAACAATGATAATTTCTTGGGGGCAACTTCCGGACTATGCATATGGACGTCTGTTGCACTTGTCTCTGGTCTTCATAATAGGCACATCTGTTACTAGGTGGTTAACGAAAAAATTGCTAGCCAAGGTATCATATCACAGTACTCTCTAGAGACTTCCCAATATCCTCGCCTATTTACTTGGTACTTACCGAAATCATCCATCCTCACTCACTCACTCTTCCACATCGATGGGAAACACTAAATGCTTTACGTGGTTTTGGATTCTACATCCAGTTATCGTCATACTTTTCGCCACCTCCACTCTCTATCAAGTTGTATTCTTCGTCTGATACAGCCCAGTAGCCGCATTAAAGTACCCGTTTGTCAGAGAGGGTAGTGCTCCTAAGGGTAGTCACGCATAGAGTGAATGCTAGTAGATTATTCCCATCCCCTTATCCTACCTGGTAAACATCTTAAGTCATATTTGTAATTATAATTAACACTACTGTACACCTTGACGAAGTACCTCTAATATGAAACAGCAATCTAATAAGTCATAGTTTCTTATTCGAAATTTAATACCTAACCTAGGTAGGCATCTATTTAACATAATGTTAACTGTTCCCCAATCTATCTGTTTGGAATGCTTGAATGGAAAAGCAGCGAAAGCTCATTGTCGTGGTCCTTGATTTCTTATGAGAGAGCATTATTACATTTTTATACCTATTTGGTAGGTTAGTCTTCTAGCTTATATAGTATACCAACCTATTCCGCCATATAGAAAGGATTTCAACTCACCACGTTGAGCATAAATGCAATAGTTATTAGCTAGATGTTACATTTCTTTGTGAAATGCATAGGTACCAAGTCTAGGATGGCATAAAGTATATAGCATTTCCCTTTCCGTTCTGACTCTTGGTCTATCCAATCTAATTGGTAGAGGTCCTCCCCAATGGATAATGTGGCAGAAGTCACTTGCTGGTGGAAGGACGGGGGTAAACCGAAGCATGAACTATCTCGTATTGTGTATCAAAAGGGGACGATCGTAACCGCCTGCTACGGATGGAAACCTGCTCATATGTGCTCTAATCCAGGATTCCATGAAAATTCATCGAAGATAAGCACCGTTCACCTATGTAACGATTAGACAAGGATGCATCTATTCTAGGGTATTTATTCTCATATACACGTAAATCATTGTATTTGACTCAATATGAAATGAATTGCGACTGCTGAGTCGGATGGCTCCACACGCAATATCTAATTATACTCAGTACAGAGGCCCACCTCTCCCTTACCTCAATATCGTCCGGGTTACTACCTCCTATCAAAGTGATATACGACAGGATTCCCAGTCGAGAGGTAAAAGTACTCCTCAGGATACCAGGCCTTTAGTAGTGTATAAGTAGGTTATTCCTATTTTCGTGATAAAAGATTTGATGTATCCGCTGCCCTATTATTAGCTCGCATAATTCCCCAGGTTACCACCTCCGTTCTCGAGTAATACACGCCATGGAATACCGACCCTCCCGAGCCGGCTTCTTCAAAGCCTTGCTAGTTTTTACTGAATTTTCTCTTGCCATTACTACTATGTCGTTGCTGTGCTGTGCCTATCCTGAACGATTTCGGAAAACACTATGGGAAATTGGCGGAGAGAACGGCTGGAACTCGAATCCGCGTTTGCGGATTTATTTCTATGCAAATTATCAGCAACCCCCAGAGATTCCTTTAGTTTGGACCCAACGGTATGTTTATGCGTTCTTCGGAGTGGGAAAAGCTACTTTTATCCCTACCTCTATAGCTTCTGGGACGCCTCCTAACCCCCCTTCCCCCTCAGTCTCAGCGAGTCGAACTTGGCGATATCTGTTCTCGCCACAGCTGTATGCTCAGCCCGGATAGAGTTGTCCTACTTCAACCTCAGGCCGGGCTTTTCTCGTCTTTTTGAGGTCATGAACGATATGTTGCTCTCGGGATTTTGGGCATACAGCGTCGCTGCTCAATCCTCCAGCGACCTTACAGACTCCGACCACCTAAGTGTACGGCCCTGGTATTTAGAGAGGAGCTGCAGTATTCTAGATGAGAGCGTAGTCGAGACTTGTATACTTGCTAAAGCCTGTTTCGCATTCTCAGTTTTATCCCTGTGAGTACCCCGTTTCTTTAATTGTTCGCCGGCATGCTTCATGCTAAACTCTGGTGCATGATGCCACAGGATTTTCTTTTCCACGCGCTCCATTGTTTCTGTATTACGACTCACATATTGGTGTGGGAAATTTCAAGTATTTGACGGAGGTGTAGATTTGCTACGGGATCGACTCTGGAAAGATCGATCCCATGAAGGTGGCGGGTTTACCATCTCTAACGCACGGTTTGACGAATACAGGGATAGTGTCACGATGGAAGAACCACAGATTGTCGAGGTAGTTTAACGTCGTCCAATGAAGGCCTGATGGTATGAATTGTTGGCGATTTTGTGACCAAGAGCTGAAGTTACAGTGATGGACCAACCGGATTGTTTAAGACGGCCATCTAGAACTGAAGACCCACGGACCTTCGCTGACGGTTTGCTTCGTCCTGTTTTAGCTCTAACTAGGTAGAACTCCTCTGGTCAGCTTGGTAGTATCGGGTCTTTGACGATGAGCAAGTTATCATCGCGGATGTCTTGTAACTAGTTACGTAGCCCGTGTAGCGCAGATAGTGTGTGCCACCAACCGGGTATCGAGTAGTCTCGTCTACGCGTGTCACAACGTGGGCCGGAGCTATAACCGTGGTCGGCATCCCTGTAAGATCCCGCATGGTCAGTTAATACACACACACCCCAAACCCCCACAAACTCCCATTTGGATCCTAATGCCATAATTCAAGCGCGAATAGTGAGAGGGTTTTTCTCGAAGTGATCACATTCGAGCATGTCCCGGTTGGTGGCTTTTATGGAGCTGACCATCGTACGATAAGGGGGTAACCTAGAATCTGCTATGTAAAGCCTGCTAGTTTCCGCCCCTGCTCGCCGCGGGATGGAAGTCGGAAAGTAAAAGCTTGTATTGTGCCATTACATAAATGCTCGTGGTCTACAGAGCAGCCCATACCGATGATGCTTGTGTAGTAATTATATCGTCTCTGATCGACGTTAAGCTGAGGGACACCGGTACCATACCGTTAAGAAAACGACAATATGGATATGGAAATGACCGGAACTCCCTGGCTTAACCAGCCAGTGATGCTTCACTCTTCTCGAGCCGACTCGTGTAGCAAGTTCACCGCGGCGCAATGTGCCTATCGCAATTACCGTTGGAGATACTGGTATGTCCTTTGTGGATGAATGTGTTCACATATCTAGCGATTGATGTAGCTAAACTAAACTTCCAGGTACCAAGCCGATCACGTTTTTGCTCTATCGACAGTATACTTCTTCATTGCAGTCATCGGAGTATGTTTTATTGGATTCTGTAGCCAGAGATTTGCTCCCGCTTCCCTCAGGGAAAAAGCCTGGTGGCGGAAGTTAGTAGCCAGCATCCGCTTCCTGGCCTATCGTCGTTACGATGCTGCAGCAACCCGGTGGCGTATGCCGTCTTTGGGGGTCAGCCTTCTGATGATTACCGGTGCGGTTTTCTTCTTGGGTAGGTTTGAATTTGGCACCTTCATAGCCCTCCGAAATTTCCACTAAACGGTTGCGAATAGCTATGACCCTCGGTCCTCAGCCTTATTACTGGCCAAACACACAGACACTGAATTATGGCAGCTCGCCGCCTATCGCTACAAGGACGGGTTGGATGGCGTTAGCTTGTCTGCCTTTCATGATAATATTGCCGACGAAGGCGAACATGATCGCATCCTTGACGGGTGTCTCTCACGAACGACTAATCGTTTTCCATAACTGGGTTGGTTGGGCCATGTTCGCCTTAGCTTTGGTCCATACCTTCCCGTTTATCGTTTTTCATATTTGGAAAGGCGATATGGTCAATCAATGGGACACTAGCGTTGTATATTGGACTGGTGTCGTTGCCATAATCGCGCAGGCTTATCTACAAGTCTTTTCCCTCCGCTTTATCCGGTAGGTTCTTCTGTCGACTACACGGTGCACGTCCATTAACTTATACGAAAACAGAGATCGATTCTATGAATTTTTCAAGGCTACGCATTACATTGCGGCGATCGTATTCGTTGTATTCTTCTTCATCCACTGCGACTTCCGACTCAGTTCCTGGTTGGTTTACCCCTTTATCCTTTAACAATGGCAGACTAACTCTCCTCGGTAGGGACTATTTCATCGCAACCGGAGTACTCTACACGCTGTCCTTCTTGTACCCTCAAATCCGAACATACTTCGAATTCGGATTGTCTCACCGCGCTAGCTTCACGATGGTCTCGGATTTGACTTTGAAGGTTACGATTCCTATCGATACTGCATGGCGGCCAGGCCAACATATGTTTCTTCGTTTCGTTCATATGGGATTACACGCATTTACCGCACATCCATTCACTATATGCAGCTTGCCTGTTACGAGAGATAGCAAGGGGAACTCGAAGCTCACATTTTACGTACATCCCCGGAGCGGATTGACAGCTCGCCTCGCCCAAAACGCAGTTAAACAGCCGGGCTTCAGCGTACCAGTCTTGCTTGACGGACCGTACGGCGGCGTGCAGGGAAGACCTCTATACACGTACGATCACAACCTTATCGTAGCCTGCGGCGCCGGCGCCGGTCTTTCGCTACCTTTTGTTATGGAAAGCTTGTTACGTTCGGCTTGGCAAGCTCGCAGCGGGAACAAGAAATTCGTCAACAAGATCCAGGTGGTCATTGCAACGAGAGATATGCAACTGGTCCACTGGTACGAAGAGGCATTGCTAGAGTACCTTGAAGAGAATGGGCTCGAGATGGTACCCGAAAACCTCGACATCTCAATATATCAGACAGGCAGGCCCGAGTCTAAAAGCAATAGCACATCTAAAGATCCTGAACGACCCGAGGAAAAACTGAATGGGAATTCGCAAACTGTTAGTCGGCTTCCCATTAGCGTCTTTTCTGGACGTCCAGATATCACGACAATTGTGAGGGATGCGACGCTCCAGCCAGGGCATGCGGTGGGTATAGTTGCCTGCGGCCCAGGGGAGGTTCTGAAAATAGTCCACGACGAGGCAGCAGAAGCTCAGCTTAGAGTAATGAGCTCCAAGGCTAGTGCACGTGAAGTATACTTGCATTCCGAGGTTTTCTCGTAAGTCGACCACCCATTTCGCCCGCTCCTTTCATCTTTACTGATACTGACTATTCTTGACCAGATGGTAATACGTCACCTGTCAATTAATGACCAGAATGAGAAGTAAAGTATCTCGTTTCATTAAAATCATTGGTGACAATGACACCCATATGTTGCACATTATAAAAGCATGGGCGGTCGGCTGCGAGGTGTGGAACATGTTCACGAACCCCCCCCTAAGAGAAAGGGGCATCTGATTTACACAATGTCTTACACTAAAGTACCTCTCAAGGTACATCATTAATTACACAATGAATATAACTACCTAAAGTTCAAATAAGTGAAAACTGGCGTCATCGTGGCGTCTGTTAGATACCTGTCGTATCTGATTTCGGTTTTATCCCCATCGGACATCCAGCAAGTTCATGTTGTATATAATACTTCGTTGCGTAGTCGAGCGTAGTCGAGCGAAACGCGCGGGATAGCGACGTCTCAGGATAAAATGTCAAGGCTAAGCTCGTCAACGCAGTTTAAGCCGTCTTTCGATCTTTCATTCGCGTAAGAACAAGAAGTAGGAGGCGCAAACTTGGATTTCAAGTAAGTTGCGTAGTTGGTTACGTTATGCAACTACACATGTTCGTCGATGTTCAGTGTTGTCTCATTAGCGGCAACTTGCATGCTCTAAAATGACTAGGAGGGGGTGGCCGTAGTAACGTTTGACACCAGTAGGACCGGCGATCCCTGCCTATGTTTAGGGGACCTGAGAGAGTTTGAGCAATTTTATTCCTAGAATTTCCAGAAATAGTTAGGAAGTCCGCTTAGCGGAAGACCCCGACAAGCTTAACCCAGGAAACTGGAGATCTCATCAGCCTCTAATAACGTTGGAAGCCAGGATCTATCATTTACTACATGTGATTATGTGAAGTTACGAGTTACCTTCTCATCCGGGTTACCTGCTCAATGCTGCTCTATTTACAACATCGAGCCGTATCTTGGAACTTTTCCAACTTCAGGTTCAAGCTTTCCAATAAGAGCCCTTAAACAGACCCCATATGTGGTCAGCTTCCAACCATCCAACCGCACCATCGACCAAGTGCCTATCTCTTCCGTCTGATGGATAACGGTCGTGAGCAAATATCTATTCGTCTAGACTTCGGAGCCCCGTTACTTTGAGATTTCGAAGTCAACCGTTCGTAGTCTGTCACAAATTTGCAACATCCACGGTTTGGACCATCGACTATAGACGATAGAATAAAACATGCGCATATAACAGCCTCAGCTTTGTAGCGTTGGTCTTGATATATCGTATAAGAATACGTAGGTATGTCCTACTCCGTAACCAAGCGGCCAAGATCAGAGCATATCTACCTGTAACTAACTGACTGGACAGCGACAGTTCAACATATCATCTTATTATTGCCAACAAACTCTCTTCTTGAATTTACTATTGCACCTTATCTTACCTCCACCAACTCTTCCGGTGTGACTCCCCTCCGTCAACAGCGCTGTGTCGAAACTACGTCTTTGATCAAAAAGATGGACATGACAATGTCGACCTCGACAGCCATGGCGAGCATGACGATGACGAGTGCAAGTTCTATGGCGTCGTCTACCTCAGGAATGGACATGGACTCGTCGTCCATGATGATGAGCTCAGCGGACATGGCTATGGTGTTCTTTCAGAGCGTCACAACACCGCTCTACTCGAGCGCCTGGACTCCGCAAGGTCAAGGCTCATACGCCGGCACTTGCATATTCTTAATCGTGCTGGCGCTAGTACATCGGATCCTGATAGCCGGACGGGCCATCATCTTCGATTCGAACCAAGCACTTTCCCGTCGTCGCAAGGATATCTCTTCAGATTCGGATGAGTATCCAGGCAGCAAGAGCGACTTGGAGTCGATGGGTGAGCGATTCAGGTCGCAATGGAGTGGCCATCCGTTCAAGGTTGCAACCGAGACCGCTCGTGCGCTTCTCGAAGTAATAATTGGGGGCATTGGATACTTACTGTAAGTCGGTCCTACTATTTCTCGGTCCTCGTTTAGCTTCTTCCGTCTGCGGCGGCCCCTATTCTTGATCTTCATCCCCTTCTCACAATATACATAGGATGTTAGCAGTTATGACAATGAACGTAGGCTACTTCCTATCGGTCCTGGGGGGGATTTTTCTCGGCACCTTCGTTGCCGGCCGATTTGGCGGTGGTGACGACCACCACTAAGTTACGATCTTAAAAGTTTTTCGAAATAATCCGCATCAGATCCACCTCATGAACCTTACCGGTATATAAAGAGCATGATGGACAGGAAAAGATGAGAGCAGTGCAGGGGAATGGCGGCATATACTGCATTATGAGGCTCTCTGAGACGATGTTCGTTACTACTTGGATCTAGAAAGGGAGCGTGGAATGTACTAGGAATCTTTACGTTGGATAACTTAAGCTGGAGCTGCTCGAGTTTTTCATTTTTTCAGTCCATCCAATACCCCTTGCGCTTTAGCAAGACCGAATTCTGCCATTGTCTCTTCACAGTCCTCGAACTGCTTCTCCCCTATACGTGTAGGCGAGCGAGGAAATACTGTAATTACCTAAATATCAACCGATATTTCGTCAGTCTATTTGTCGCGTTTATGTCCGCTAATTAACACCGTATATACGGGTAGATAGCTGTGAGATGTGAATCAAGACGGAAGAACCTGAGTGACGTCTTCTAGTTTGCGACATAGCAGCCATACAGCTCCTTTTATTTGACTGTAGCGGTATCAAGATATGTGGAGGCGCCTATTAGTGCTGTCCGTCCTAACGCCGCCTTATGACTGTGAAAGAAAGCAGCTATGAGTGGCGGTGCGTAGCGCTGTAGTTCTCTGTCATCGACCAGTCCTATATCAACTTAGCTGGCAACAACATCCTCGGGAAACTGGCTAGGGAATGTTGACGCTGTTAGAGCCTGTCACAATGACGACAGTGCCTCACAGGTGGGTGTTCTTGGGGGGCATCGAGCTTTGGCATAGAACTGAGATTTACAAGGCCAATCTGCTTGAAAAATGCTCTGCCTGGTAATTACCTAGGTTTAAAAATAAAGAATCAGAGGTATGTGAGTTTCTTTCATCAAACTGATAATTCTCGACAATTATAAGCAGTTTTGTTAATATTAAGGAAGTTACACAATACTCCAGTCCCGGTCGTGTGGATCTACATATCGGACATGTTCCGTTCTTGCTAACCGATTTCGGAATACCTATACTTGAGCCTTGACATTCCGTCCCGGGAGTCTTGCCCACTCTTAAGCGAACCGCGCGGGTGTTTTCTTATATGACTTATCCTGCTAACGTCGACTTCAGACTCAACTATATTGGTTGTGGTTATCCTGCTTCATCGAAGATATAACTTCCCCCAAGAATGCTAATTTTCGGTGTGAACCATCTACTTGGGTTGTTACTCTCGCATTAATGCTTACTTGACCCTCGAAGTAAATATACCTGCATTATCTCAGCTAGCATTTGCGCTTGGCCGTTATCAAAACAAAGATGAAGGTTTGCAGTCAATGAAAATATGTAGATCTAATTATTGTACTTGACTTTAGTCAAGAGTTATGGTTGATTATTAATTGTCATCCTAGACGATGCTTTCATAGCGTTCATTCCATTTGCCAATGGGCTACGTAGCCAATCGTGCCATTCACCGTGATAGCGCCTAAGTAACTCCTGTAACCTGCCAGGTGATGATAGAGCCAATGGCGAAAATGGGGTATTATCCAAAATCCAATGTTATCGTCAGGTAGCAAACGTAAAAGGTGTGAAGGTTTCATCATGAGCTGCGCTGACAGCTAATTATACCTAGTGATTAATAGAAGAAACCCTCAGAATTAAGTCGTGTTGAATCGGGGTGGAAATATATCATGATAGTGCCAAGTGCCACTTCGCACGGCGCGCGATTGGAAGGCGGATTTCGCGTCTCAAGGCTGGCGCGCCTGAATCGAGTACGGTATCCTGCGGCGCAAAATGAAAAAAACAGGGTGAAAATCGCGGGATACGACTGCGTAGGGACGCCATCGTGTAGCAAATAGTAGGGCGTCGACAATCGATACTACCTGTTGAAGACGAGCGCATTCACAACGTGGCCCTTCTTCCAGCCCTGACTCTCCAAGGACAAGTTCTCCTTAAGAATCTTGCCCATGTAAGCCACGCGCACATGTTTTGTCGAAGGTAGCTAAATGAGCGGTTAGAGGAGATTCGCCGATACGGACAAGGCTTGGGACAGTTTTTCTTGGAAACTTACACGGGATTCTTCGGCTACTCTTTTCGCAAAGCTCCTCACGGTCTCCTCGGGGCTCACGCTTATAATCACGTCGGGTAGATTCTCGCTGAGTCTGGCGCGGACCTTCACCATATTCTTCATGTCCGCAACACCTTTTCCCTTTTCCTCCCTCCGGCGCAGGGCCTCATCTTCATCCATCTCTTCCGTAGTATCGTCCTCGCCTATCATGTCATCGTCGTCTTTCCCCCGTACGTTGCTCTTGCTCCTCTTCACATTACTTTCCTCGGTTACGTTAACAGGATCACATACAATCCATTCCGGCAGCGCATAGTAATTCCCTAGAGCGTCGTACACGCCGTTCGATAGATCGCCCGTAGGTAGCGTTACCTCGGCAGCCTTAAGTATACTTTGCGCCGTAGCCAACGCGCCACCCTCCTCGCCATCCCCGGACTCCCTCCTGTTGGAGAGGTTGCCGTCGGCCTCCCACAAAACTTCCAGCGTCGCCTTCAAGACTTGCCATACCTCAGGCCGACCTGTGACCCGGGTGTCAAAGAAGTCTGCTCGCTCAGTGTCCAGCTGAGAGCGCGTCCACGTACGATCGCGCGCGACCCATTCGTGACGGCGAAGTGGCTTGTCTATGTGCTGCGATAACGGGGGGTGATGACCGTGTGTTCGATGTTGGTGGTGGTGGGAATGCGACTGTTGCGGGTGAGGCGACTGGGGAGGTTGCTGAGAGCGAGAAGCGGCCCGCGAAGCTGGAGCGCTGTCGTCGGTCGTGGAAGGATGTAACGGCGGCTGCGAGTTGATGGCACGCGCCGAGGGCGACGCGGCACTGCCGCCCGGATAGGGTGCATTTGGGCCAGCGGACCTCGAGAAGCAGCAGCCCTGTGAATACTCGCCGTTAGTTGAAGGTCAAGACGAGCATGAGCATGTCGCGTATAGCAGCACTTGCTGCAGGATCACGACACATGCCCCTTTGCGATTCTTGTAGTCTGCCAGATATAAAAAGCCGGCAGACAGGAATTCGGTGATAATAGTACCATTGCTTTTCCGCTTTGATAATGTTGAGCAACTCGAGATAGCGATTGGACACACCCGAATTTAGACAAGATCGTTTCAGCGCATTTTCATACGTTCGTTCCCAGAGGTCCCTCTTATTTTGCCGTCTTGTCTTCGTTATGCTTTCGGATAACTGACCGTTAATTCGTTGTTGTGTCAGCTGGTGTCTCAACGTCGAGTGGGAGTTTAGAAATGAGGCTTAGCAAAGAATAACGGAGATTGAATCGACGAATCGACGGATCGGCATTGTCGTTAGTGACAGGGATTCGATGAGCTGGCCCAAGAAATAGTGCCAAGGTTAACCCCGCTAACCTTATTATTATTAGTACCATCGTCCGCCGTCCATACAATGGTGTCTTACCTAACGATTTATCACATGTAATCCGTAAATTGGAAGTTACGCGACCCTGTCATGGCTCTGGCTTCACCAGATTGGTAAGTGACAGGACCATTAGAACGAGTATATTCGTAACTCTTAGAGTGAATTTTGAATTCCCTCGGAATGCTAATGCGAGCAGAGGTAGCTCGCACATTGCCTGTACACGAGGTAGTAGTAAGTAGTAGTCGTTACATTTATCGTATTACGGATCCGTACATAAATCTAGGTGTCCCGGATATTGCACAACGCTCTTTTAGCTCTTTTTATCATCTACAACCAAAATCCCAAAGCCCTTTGTCACACTACTCATCAATCACCATAGATAGCCTCTACAATCCTCGCTGCCGCACAAACATCTTGTCATGTCCTTTTGTTTTTCCGGGTCGAGGGCGTCATTTTCCGAGTCGTCAACTCCATCCACGTAGTCGAACGTCAGTTCCTCGCCTCTTGGTATATCCCTGATCGCGAACAACGCTAGATCATGAAGGTGCTTGTCTGCATGATCGCCCACTCTCGCAAAGATGCGCATATTCGGGTTACATGAGTGGTTGACGAATCTAGTCGGACCCGACATAAACTCGCCATCTACTTCTAACGGCGGCCCTCGCAGGCGCTCGTCATACGACCCCGGATCGGAGAATTTATCGAGCGCGAAGAGGTAGACGTCTTTACGTTGCGCAATGTGCGATTTGGCGCGTCGGCGGTTGGCCTCATGCGCGGTGATGATCTCGCCCATGTACTTGTCCACGAACTGTCCTTTCTTTATGTCTACCGTGCTTCGGACGCCCCAGCCACGGTTCCTCGTCCTGAAAACCTGCAATGGTATCTTGCGACCTCTCTCCACCACCCTGTTGGGGCACTCAGGACCGCACGCGCAACTTTCGTGGCATTCGTAGATGGGGTTGCGAGATGCGAGAATCCTTGAACGGAGGTGACCGGCTTTGGTACCGTGCGAATGATATGCGTAAACTCTTTTACGGGGTTTCTCGCCATAGAAATCGTCATCATCTTCGTCATCAGAACTATCGTCTTCAACATCCTGAAGGCAGTTACACGTGCTGTATTGACAATCGTCCGAGTCGACACACTCACAGCCGGTGAGGAATTCTTTCTTTGTTGGCTCCACATCTTTGCCGAGGATTGAGCTGTCTACAAACCGGAAGTCGGGATCGAGCACAGCATCGTCTTCGGTATTGACGATGGTGACGGGAAACCGAGCGTGCGTCGTGAACGAGCGAATCTGGCAAAAGTGGCAACGCTGCTTCTCGCCATCACGGCCCTAGCGACGAATTTGCTATGGTCAGCATGAGTATATGCTGCAATACTACAGACAGAGAAGGGGCCTTACGGGGTTACCGTGATGGTAAAAGTGCGGCCGCGTGACCGCGTCCATTCTATATCTATGCTGTCTCGAGATATGGAGGTAAAAAAGTGTCCGTTATCGAAAATCAAGGACTTTCAAGAACGATCGCGCATTCCCATGGCCTTGGCCAACGTAAGAGGCAAGCTATGACCATGTGGGGTTTGAAGCCTCAAGTGTGAGAAGCTGAGATACATACATAATGAGACAAGCGACGCGATTGACGCGTCAAGTCAACTAATAAAATACCTACCTCGCAGCTGCTTTGGTGCGGTGCCAAGGATGAACCTTGCCCTGTAGACCCCCAAGTTTGGGAAGGACAGGTGCAACCCCAGTGCCCGCCAAGCCTCCAGGGCTCAATTTAACTCGTTCAAATAGGTACCTATCTGTACCTAACTAAGCCGCAGAATGACCACCTACATGCATTTTCAGGGATAGACAACATCCATATCCACGACGATAACATTAGAACGACTGCCGACTAGAATGAGTTTTTGTCATACAATGAAGGTACCTATTGACAGAATATTTCAGCTAGATAGGTGCTATTTCTTATGAATGGGGTTACAAACTTTGCAAAGCAGGTACACATCCACGTGGTTGCAGTGTCACCCCTTTTTAAGGGGCTATTCATCACAATATTATTCATACATATTTGCATACTCTACTTGAGCTTAGGACCTGAGTAGAATCCTTCAACCTTAGGGCTGGCTACATCTGAGACAGTTATCCTTTTCTCTAAGATTACAAGTACTTAGGTACCTAGGTTGAAAAAGTAAATAGGTACTCATCTGAGATGCCCATACAAGTTTTCTCACTCCTTTTCACGAGTGAAGCAATTCTGTACCCTCGATCTAGATAGACAGTTATATATATTCCATCAATGATTAATTTATTTACATGGTAGCCTTGGTGTTATATCAATGTTAATTCTTCATAATATCTGTGGTTGAAGGTCAAATGGGTATTCAAGATGCGGATACTTAGACATGAAAACGCATTTGTAGAACTTTACCGCTACTACCCTTGTAGTTAGGGACGCAGATATTTAAACATTTTCTTCTTATTAAGCATGCGTAAAGGGATAGAGATAATCACACAATTCCTAATTTCCGGCTAATTACCGCCCTTCCGGCCATGAGACTTGTCGGGAGTAGGTAGACTATTCCAAGTACGGTTGATACATGGATCAGTAAGCTCACCTGACTCCTCCCTTTAATGTCTCGGTGATCTCCTCCAGGTCAAAGTACGCTTCCAACTTCATGGGAAAACGTGTCCGTAATTCCCAGATACACGATGACAAGCACAAATCAGACTGAGCCATCGGCTTCCCGCCCTCAGTTTTACGAGACGCTAGAAGCCCTACCAAGTACTCTTTCAGACGTCCTAACTACTTATTCCGGCATCCCTAAGGATGCTCAGCTTCATCACGTCGTGAAGCTACGCAATGAGGCATATACATACTTCCCGTATCCATGCATTGGAACCTTCAGATTTCTGGAGTTTGACTTGGCATCTCACTACGCATACCGAGAGCATGTGCTGTCTCCACTAAAGACTCCTTGCTCAGACGGTGCGGCCGAGCCGCTGTTCCTGGACCTAGGAACCTGCCTCGGCCAGGACCTCCGTAGACTCGTCTATGACGGCGCTCTTATACACCGGCTTTGGGCTAGCGACATAGAGCCCAAATTTATTGAGCTGGGGTTCAAGATGTTCAACGACGCGGATAAGTTGCCGGCAGATCATTTTCTGTGCCCCGGAAACCTGCTATCGAACTCGCCTGACGATAAGCTCCGGGTCCTAGACAACAGGGTCACCATATTACACTTGTCTGCTGTGTTTCACCTGTTTTCTCTCGACGATCAGAAGGCGGTGGCTGACCGCTGCTTACGGCTTTTGAGGAAGGATACTGGCGGCCCAGTATTGGTGTTGGGAGGTCAAGTCGGAAGCCAGAATCCTGGTCCATATGAGCGACGCAATGCCTCCCAAGACTATACACATAAATATAGGCATGATGAACGGACCTGGAAGGAATTGTGGGATAATGTCTGTGGCAGCGACGCCTGGAAAGATAAAATCAAGAAGCTTGAGGTGAAGTCGAAATTGCTGAAGAGAAATAAAGTGAAAGGTGAATCTGGAGAGGTCACTGTCTTTACGCAGCTAGAATCCGGAAGCGATTTGGGTTGGCAAATGTATGAAGTTTGGGTTACTTTCTCTTGACCCTCGTACTACGCTGGCACTTGTTGTCAGGGGCATAAGTGGAGCAGGCCTAGAAGGAGGTCCTGCGGACCTCCTGCTAGGCAAACGCGAGTTAGCAAGGTATAAGAAGGGGGCGAAGCCCCCTTCAACCTCAGAAGAAGTAGCGTTATTAGTTCATCTCATACTTGCTATATACTAGCAGCGGCTACGCCGCTCCTTTGCACTCACTTTACGCTTGACTTAGGGACCTATTACTGACACTTGTCACGTTCAATTTTAACTCCGAGTACTTGCCTATATAGAACACATAAGCTTTTGAATATCTAGAGGTAATGTGTTGTTAAATCATGTCAGAAAGTTCTTGGCATGGTTATGAATGATGAGTTCCAAGTTTGATAAAGAAAAGGTGACTGATGGTAAGAGATAATTGATTATTTTCGTCACTATCCATGACGGTCTATAAATTTTGCATATGAATAAGTTGGCAGCGGGAACGGAGGTATGTTGATCTTGGTAACTATGAATAACTTATTCACAGTGTCTAAGTAGCTTAATGAAATAATCACCTATCATATACTAAGGCAGATTGACTCATATACAATGTTCTATTTCGAAGTCATACATAACCTCATTATTCCCCTTCGTACCATTTCCTGCCAAATGGGCTTTCTATTTATTTTAATTTATGATTTTCACACCCACATCTCTCGCATTTCTGCAGCCTCTCCTTTTTGCCAGGAAGACTATACCTTTCCATCGATTATTAGCCCAGTACTTTGGTCACATTATCTTCACAACTCAACACATCACAAACTATTATTAAGAACGAACTATCTAAAAACTCCACCTATCTAATCGGCGTCATGAGGGCGGGTGTTACGGTATATCTTCTTACCATTGCTGCCATGATTATGGCCTTCGCAGCGGGTGGGTGCTGTTATTTCGCTGCATTCGTCCATAACGAGCTACGTCCATACTTCGACCAGCACGACATGAAGTCATACTTAAGCCAAGCTCACGCAACTCTTTTATACCTTACATTCTCGGCTGCCTTGCTTTGGATTTTGTATCTGGGAACAATCCTAAAAGTATGCGTTGATAATTCGGAATTCGGTTTCCCTAAGCTCTTTTTGATGACTAGCGGACTCATAGTTATAACCTTGTTGGCTATGGTAACGAAGGATGCATGGAGTTGGTGGGAGTACTTCAAAGCGGCAGAGGGCCTCAACCACTTGGCGATAAACTGCCATTGGCTGGCCGGCGTATGCATTGCAAATATGGTGACGATGCTCGTCGCTATAGTTGGGATTATCATTATCAGCATATTGCCAGATTTAGAGCTATGAAGTTATCGGCTACGTCAACTAGGCTTTAAGGAGTAGGCATCCATGGATATTAGGATAGGGCGAAGAGAAACTCGATTCCTCGTTTTTTTAGCTCTGAATACAATTGATACTTTCCCACTTATGATTTACGTTTATTGAATATTGCGCTTTGTTGATAATCTTTGAATGTGTATTCAGTAAGACGGTGCGTAGATGAGGTTCAAGTGGGGGATCTTCAAGATCTGGGAGTTTAAATAGGTTCTACTGCTAGTCACTCTCGGAATGATTCCGCGCACGGTACTTACCAGGGTGAGGGTCCAGGTCCCACAACCCGCAACCCACTTAGCTTAGTTCCATTATGGCGGGACTCCTGTATTTTTTTCCCCTCCACATCTGGATAGTAGAGGACCCGTGTAAAACTTCAACCGTCCTGAAGGCATCGCGACCTTCTAGTCTGTTACGAGACAATAACCACCGATTCGACGCATACTAGTTACAAACCTATATCAGATCCTCCAAGGACACATTACCCCTCCGGCTTTAGCGCAATACCTTATACTATTTCTTCCACGATGGCAGCCGACGAAAGGAATATGCCTTTCATTAAACACCTTGCGTCTAGCGGTTCGTCACCCTCGCTCTCTATTGAACCGGTTCTGTACCGCGGCCAAATCTGCTCAGACCAGCATTCCCATATCTAACAATATGAAAATTCTAGATCGCAAAATACGCACTTCCGCCCTCGACACTCTTCGCACGTTCCTGACGGCGCCAACCACCGCGCGGAAGCTGACAGAACTAGACTACCTAAAGCTATGGAAAGGCCTTTTCTACAGCGTCTGGATGTGTGACCGCCCCATACCCCAACAGAACCTATGCGCCGAGCTCGCCGATCTCTTGTCCGTACTGCCCGCCCCGAACGATGACGAATGCGCCGTCGTTATCCCTTTCCTCCGCGCTTTCTGGGCCACGCTCTCTCGCGAATGGACTGCCATTGATGTTTTGCGCATGGAGAAATATTTGCTGCTAGTGCGTCGCGTATTTGGTGCTAGCCTTGCCTGGGTAGGAGACGGAAGGAAGGGCAAGAAAGGCCAGAAGCGGGCTGGCGCACGTGCCGACGGAATGCTTCGATTGTTGGAGGAATGGCCACTCGAGAAAACGGGCGATCTGGCCAAAGTCCCTGTTGGCTTGCGATTGCACGTGTTGGATATCTGGGTCGACGAGGCAGAGAAGCTGGAACTATTAATTACGGAAGATGAGAGCCTGGCGGATTCTGGTGATTTTTTATCAAGCCTGCGTCGTATCGTCGAGGTGCAATCTAAGTCTACTTGCAAACCCGTACGAGTTAGAGCTGAGGAATCTTTGGCTGACGAGAGGTTACCGTGGAACAAAGTTAGCTCGCCAGACGAAGAAATGGCCGAAGATGACGGGAATGGTAGGGATGGTTGGGGTGGATTCGACGATTGAAGTACCTAGGTAACTAGTGTAATTAAAATTGTCTGGCAGGACATGGAGTTTGGGCGTTTACTCGGATGGATATATCCTGGGCTCAAAGGAAATTGTTTCTGGGAAGGCCTGAAGCACGCTCGAAGGCCTGTCGAAGGCCGATATACCATTAGGTATACTACCTACTAGGTACAGTACACGCTATACATATTCTTACAAGACGAATTCGCACGTCTACTGTCATCTCGGGGTATCATTACCAACTGCCTCCCCTCAAATCAGTCTCATACGCTGGCTTTCTCCCAATCTGATGGTCCGGCCGCTTCATATTTTCCCCTTCTCGAAATTACGGTGCCTAGTCCCTGATGAATCTCAACTTGGAAGGGTTCGAAAGGGACGTGCTCTCCGTCGATGCTGATGTAGCCATCCTTCTGATCACGAGGAGTAAAGCGGTAGGCAGCTATCTTCCGATATGAGACGTGAGGGTTGTCGAATAAGCGGCCGGTTTCAACCGATGTCAATAGTTCTAAGTACTTAGCCGCGGAAATATCACCGTCATTGAAAACAACATCCATCAACCCGTCGTTAGGGCATGCCGCCGTAAAGAAGTTCGCATCAGGTGCCATCCAGGCCATCTATCAAGTATTAGCAAGCATGTTACGTTTACGAGACGAGCTTCTAGTACTCACATTTCCACAATAGAAATTTCCTAGTTTATCGTATGAGGCCGTCTCCCAATCCTCGGGAAGCTTGTCGTTGACGGTTCCAAACCTCAACGGCGGCAAGCCCTCTCCGATATCCGGATCGCTCGAGGTAGATTCGTCCGCCGAGGATGCTTCCCTCGACGCGCTCCCTTCTCTTCGCGTAGTATGGTCACCCTCTGTCTGTTCGCGCTTGTAATGTGCCTTGATATCAGCCTTCTCCGGTATCTCTACTTTCATCGAGATGTTGCACGGGTACACTTTCTTGCTGAAAATTCTCTGCATTAATCCAACATTGAATCGTGCAGCGCCAAGCCAGCGCAAATTTTCCGTCCCCAAGTCACACTCCGCTATGATGCCTACCGACTGGCTGAGAAAACTGAGCGTCCGCGTGCTTCCCTGTGTGACGCTCATCAGGTCCATCGGTGTCGTAACGCCCTTGATAATTGCTAGCGCCGCATAGCTTGGCCTATGCGTGCCGTTGAGATTGCAGCTCATCGCGTTTCCGCTCCCGCACGGTATGTGCGCCACGGCAACCTGGCGTAGGGCCTTGCGCGCGTCCGGCCGTTTCCCCAGGCCGTTGATGCATTCGTACGGTAGCCCGTCGCCCGAGCAAGGGACTACGATATCGTACGCGTCGATGTCGAGGTTCTCGCATATCCCAACGGCTTCGCCGGAAAACTTGGTTCGTACCACGTCCAGCGACATACGCGCCCCCTCGAATAGAGGTTTCACTTCGTGTTCCCAAATCTTGTCGGCGCCGCCGGGACCCGCATGCGGATTAACCAAGACCTTCGCACGCCTCTTGCGCTGAGCCGTCCCGTACGCTCTCTTCAGGACGAGGTTAACCCACGCGTCCAGTACATCTTGATCAAACCGGCCGAGAGGGTAGGATAATTTTTCGGCGCGGATGTGTTTCTTAGAGACGTAATTGGCGTAGTCGATGACAAGGAGTCCACTAGGAGTGATTTCTACCCAAAGCACTTGGTAAAGAGGGATCACGAATCCCGGAGGAGCGTGACCAAAAGGGAGACCGCATAACTTCCGTCGCTGATGCTTCCCCTGGGCCTTGTCTACAGAAACGCGGAGCTATATTAGCTTTAGTCAAGTTTATTTTTTTGTTCGCAGGGGTCCGTTAGATACCGTTGACAACTAGATTTTCGTTTGTCAGAGCGAGGGACACGTCACGCGGAAATAGAAGGACATTATCCACTACGATCGATTGAGAGGCCGGGGCAGAATTAGCCATGGAGATAGCTTCATCCATCTGCGGAAATCGATACGGATTGGCGGTAGCGAGCGACGAGAAACCAAACCCGAAGTAAGGTAAAATAAAAACAATGAGAGAAAAAACAAACAAGAGATCAGGGCCTCGATACTAATGTCTCGTGGCCGAATATTCATAAGCACATGCGCAGATGCGTAAGTAATAGGTAGTTCTACCTCCCTGTTTCTGTTCAGGTTCCAAGGTTCCGAGGTAACCCTTACATGGTAGCATCATACCTAGCTATCTACCTAGGTATTTACCTATCAAGAACGGACTCCGTGCTTGCCGGGATACCGAAATATTCGCTGTTCTGATTGGTCAATTTTATCGGTGTTGCAGCCAAGATACGCGTAGTACATGTATGCATATGTAGCTATCTAGGTCAGGTACTTGCATATATATGCTTATACGAAGTCTCGACTTCGGCTTATTCAACAATTTAAGGACCTCCTAAATGAAGCACTCGAGACATCTATTGAATGATCGTGCATTATTAAAAATATCTCTAATAATATTTACAGATTAAACACGCACCTGGCAGTTGACGATGTTACTGCGCCGTAGTAGACTCGCTTAAGCCAATATTTGTAATCTTAGTCCTCGACGCCCCTTGCGCCGCTCAACCCATCGATTTATTCAAATTTTGGTTTCACCATTTCTTCGCGCCGCCATGTTCCTTTCCGCCCCCACGATCAAGGCAATGTGGTGACTCAAAGCGACAACTTCGCCTGTCTCGTCTAGAACGACGACTTCGAGGTCCATTCTTCCGTTCTTGACGCTCTTCGTCCGAACACGCACGAATAACCACTCAACTCCTTCGGGGGGCAGAACCTTCTTGACGTCTAAGTTAAGAACTACGGTAGGAAACCAAAACGGCGGGGGACTTTTGTTGCCCTCCGCTTTACGCCATAGTCCATCGATAATGGAAGGGAAGTGGTCACATACGAAACCCACACTCTCATTCGTGAATCTCTCGCCCGAATCGAGGCGTACCCATTCGTCGGCTAACCCGGGAAGTACCTGACCATCGCGCGGCAAAAATGTACGGACCCGATGAGCGATCTTGCGAAACTTCGGAAAGGGTTTGTTCGTCAACTCAACCCAACGGGGTTCCTTACCACCGGCTAAAAGCACAGCAAAATCCGCTGGCGGCGAAGGTGGAGGTGGGTCTAAAGACCATAGGGTTTTCAGAGATAGACCAGTCTCGGTGTCTACGTTCGACTGCGTAATGTAGCCGACGATCTCCTCGCGGCCATCTTGCGACAGCGCGACATGGATGGTCGACGTCTGCCGACCGAGCTTGATATCACGAACGACTAGAGTTGCCGGGCCTTCCTGAGTTCGCCGCAAGAATTCGATATGAAGCGAGATTGTATGAGGCTGGTTCTGCGCCGCAAGCGTGGTGCGGAAATGGGTTGCAGCGACTCGAAGAAAGACAGAAGTCACTACGCCCCCGTGAGGAACTAAGTATATAGGTCAGATCGCGGGCCTCATCGACATTGTCAGAAGCATCTTCACTATCACGCACCTGATCCAACGCACCATTCCGTATTGAAGTTGGCGGTATATGTATGCGAATCTGTGGCGGTGATAGCCGTAGCCTCTGCGAATGTTGGCGCCATTTCCACTTAGAAAGGGAACGATTAGATCACCACAGTGAGATTGAGAGCTACATAAAGAATGGACATGAATTCTATGTACATAAAGAGGTAACCAGGTACCTTCATATCATGGTGGAAACTTGTGAGGAGTGCCTAATTCGAGTAACGTACCCCTATGGTTACCATGTGGGATAAGTAGGTACATCAATGATTGTATTGTGGTTGAGGTGAGACTTGGTAAGAATATCGCGGCCAAGTTGGAAGTTGCGTTAAATGTAAGTGGGTCCCGAGTCGTGAGCCTCGGTAATTGTCCCACATTCTTGCTTATCTAATTCCAACCTAGTAACTGTTTGAATGTTTGAAAGGAAAAATAAAATTGGAAAAAGAAAGAATGCGTCCGACTATGTAGTTTGAAGCTTCTTAAATCCTTCATTACACCCGACGTGGGACTCGAACCCACAACCTTCAGATTGACTTTACGAACAGCAGAATTTACCTGGTAGAAGTCTGATGCTCTACCATTGAGCCAGCCGGGCTAAGCAGCGAAAAATCTGCGTAGAACTATGCCTATATCAGTAAGCTACTTCGAAGAGATGAACTTGATACCCTTCGCAAACCACCATTCCACAACGATCGCAAATATTGGGAGAAGAAACATAGCTTATTTTAGGCGTACAAGTATAATAAAGCCAACGATCTCGGTACGCTGTGCTATGTAGCTATCAGGTCGACCAAGCCGAAAGGGTGAAGCGAGCCCCTATTCGATTACAAGCTCCACCACATGCATTGTATTAAACGGTGCATACATACCTTAGGTAGCTTCTTAGGTAGTTATCAAGTATATTTTAGCCATGTGGGTTTACGTACATATCTAAACGATTCACTAAACGATTAACTACCTACATAGAATACCACTTGATAACGACATTCAGAGTAATGCAAGTGAAAACTATTCATGTCCCAGCTCCTAGCCAATGCAAAATGCCACTTGCCTTAGCAACTGCCCAGCATGCCGACGCCGCCCGGATCGCGGAGATCCACATGGCCGCTTTCGGTTCCAACGCCATGCTTTTAGCCCAGTTCCCCACAATCGCCGTCCGGGACTCCCTAAAAGAGTGCATTCGATCAAAAGCACATGCTGATATCGACGACCCGAATATTACCGTGCTTGTTGTTCGGGATTCCGACACAATCGGGCTAGGTGAGAATAAGCAAGATCATAAGCGTCCGGCGACTGAAAGAGTGGTCGCATTCGCTAAATGGGCACATCCTGTGTCTACTGACGAGGAATATGCCGAAACTCCATGGATTTGGCCTGATGGTACAGACTTAAAAGTTCTCCAGGAATGGACTCGGAAGGTTGAAGACACGCAAGCTCACGCTGTAGGAGAGTCTCCATATTATCGTAAGCAGAGAGCAGATCTCATATTCCCCATGGACGATCTACGAGAGCTGACGATACCAGATCTTAGTTTTATCGGTACCGACCCATCATATGAAAGACGTGGGGCAGCAACTATGATGATCCAATGGGGTATCGATCAATGTAAGAAACATGGCGTCCCCGCGTATCTTGAAAGTACATTGGAGGCAGCGCCATTGTACAGGAAGCTTGGGTTCATAGAAATGGAGAAAATTTCACTAGACTACGAAGTTGCTGGGTCCGAGATAACTCAGACCTACGAAGAGATTGGCTTCGTCTACAGATGAATTTTGTCTCGAATTTGGTTAGGTACCTAGGTGCCGAATTGTCGCCTATCTATTGTTCGCCATATAACTCTACCTGATGTTCGAAGGTCGAATTATCTCTTGCGCATCGTGAGATTGGTGTTTATAGAATTTAACCTACACCCTCTGCTGCTATCGCAAAATTGAGCATATCCTTCGCAGAGTCTCTATCATGGTTGAATACCTACAGGCCATCGCGATTCCCCCGTCACACCCGTGTGCTGGAGCCTTTCCTAAGACCTTCCGGAAGAGAGGCCGCAGGTAGACCGGCTTAGATGGTGTGTACCTGGCGAATAACACGCATATTGGGGCTTGTGTGGGCGACGATGGATACGCATGGCTCTGCTAGGTAAGTTATAAACCTATCATTGAGTTGATCCATGGCATTTTGAATGCTGTAAGAGTTTGCTCTTAGTGGTAAGCCTCCCAGATGCTCGACAACTTGTAACCCCGTATCAGCAGACGGTCTAGAGATGAATATAAAAGATAGATAGGTATGTATCAATGCGGCTTCCACAGAGTCTACTACGGTTTATCCGGGAGAAAGACATTGCTGTTAATACCTCTACCCTAGATGTTTATATACCTAGGTAGGTACTCTTCCTATGACGACGCTAAGCTTTCTTTATTTCTATTCCGAACTCTTATTGATCGCGACACCGTCCGGATCCATTTGCTTGAACATCTCATTCGAATCAAACCACGTCTTCAGCTCCGTGACTTGAAACTTGCTATTGAGATGAGCCACCGTGACTCCTTCAATATCAATCAACTGTCCGTTTGCCTTTACTGTGACTTTCTCTCCATCACTTTAAGGATTGGCAAGTTAATATCCGCAAAATGATATTATACCGCGGAGCACCACTTACCGGTTTTGGCCCACGTAATCGTTTTTCATCTCACCCCAGTGCCGCCACTTGAACGAGACTACGGGTGGTCCGCTATGCACTTCTAGCACTTCCCACGCAAACGTCGGCATCATTCTCTTGAACGTCTTGTGACTAGCTGCAAAGTCAGAACGTCCCGGGTCGTAGTATTCGCAAGGCGAGATGACGGCGTTGTAAGTGCCCACGCGAAGCATGTGTTCCGCCGAGCATGGTTTGAGATCGTTGACAGAAAAGGTGAATGCTTTATCATCGATCGTCCTCCAGTCCGATAGGCGTGTTTTAAACGACGCTTCGATCTCCCAGTTCTTAACCAAATTTTCGACCAACTCGGGAAGACTACCAGCTTCGTGCTTACATCGTTTTGCTACCGAATACGACGCATCAGTTTCACACATACTCTTGCGATGGGTGGCATAGTTACAGGACTACTGACTTTCCGAATAGAAGCTCCGTGTCTTTGAATAGTCTGGCGGTCGAGTATTCCTCCATTCAGCACCGACGTCTCCGAGCACGGCGTTGGGGTCTAGCATATAATCTGGAAGGGGTGGCTGCGCTCCAGCTTCGGATTGAACAGCCGCCATCGTGATAGCAATACCAATTGCAATGTCCTTGAACGCAGTGGACTTTGAGGGTACTAATAATGGGAAAAAATATCACTGGAACGAAAAAAACGGGAGTTTTCTATATCGATACATGCGCTATTTATCGAGGAGAGCGAGGCGCTACCAGTTTCAAGTGTCACCCAGGAGTAGATGGGTGCGCAGTTCCGACCAATGCCGAGTTGGCGGAGTTATTCCAAGTATCACAGCATGCACTTGTGCAACACAGACCACCTATATGTTCTATATTTAATACCTGGCGGCTTTGTGAACCTGATGATTAACATACGTCCGGTGTTGGTATTGGATAGTACCTTGGGTAGCGTCCAGATTAAGAGATAACTAGAGGAAAGCCGTCCATCCGTCCATCCGTCCATCCGGCCCTTCACTTCGGACGAGCCTGGATAAGGATCCTGTCATCCGCTTTGGCGCTCTCTTCTCCATCTATTACCCCCACCGGCTCATAGTCTACGTCGTCCCACTTCTCCCTTGATACTGCCATCATTTGTCTTGCGGATCCCCCGCTGTTGACGAAGGAATCGAGAGAGGCGTCCGGAAAAATTCTGTGCAGTAAAGCATACGCAAAAAAGCTTGCAAGAAAACCGTACAAATAGCTCATATAGTACAATTGCGTCAGACCATCCGGGACGATGACGGACGTGTTGACCGCCGCAATAAATCCCGGGAGTGTAGGGGCAACTCCGATGACCCACTAAGCAAAGGTTAGACGCCGCGACGGACAACACGTTCCGGAGAGATGACTCACAGCAATCGGGGCACGCCAATTGATACCGGCGGTGTACCAGTAAATGCTACTCTTGTCCCCGATGTATAAATCGTCGGTTTTGATCTTCCTCCGGGCGACCAACAGGTAACTCGCGACCATCATACCCGTCATCGGGGCCAGAAAGATGGAGTACGACGAAAGAACGGTCAAGAAAATCGTCGACGTGCTGACCAATTTCCACGGGTTAACGACTACGCTAAAAATCATCGTAATGTATGCTCCCCGACGAATGTTGATGTACCTCGGAAACGTCGCCGCGAGGTCGAACCCGCCACTAAGCGCATTGCCGGGTATATTAATCCCTATCTGAGAGATGACGAGAGCAAGACCAGCAAAGAAAGCAGCCGCTCGCGTCCCCGCGGTGGGAGAATCGGTAATCAACCGCGAAAGAAGAGTAGGCGGATTCCAGATCGCCTCCCCACCAAACCTGTCTTGCGTGGCTGCCGTGACGAGGATCCCGACGACGGAGCAGCCGATGCCATAGACGGGAAAGGGAATCGCCTGGCCTATGATGGCATGGCGGGGACGCGTGGCGAACCGCGCGTAGTCGTTCTGGTTGAGAATACCCGCAGAAATCGATCCGATGGTCGACACGACGCCGTACACCATAAGCCAGGCCACGCTGTCGGAACCTCCAGTGTTCGGAAGCGTAGTGCCGGGGCTAATAGTATCACCGAAGCCCGCGGGTCCCATGGTCGCCAGCGCCCAGATGAGAAAGACGACGAAGAAGATCATGGTGATCGAGCTCGCGACGATGAAGAACCTTTCAAGCTTGTGCGGCCGGATCCAGGCGACGGGCAGACTGATGACGCTAAATACGATGTAAGCTACGAATTGCGCCGTCGTCATGCCCGTGTCTTCCGGCATATGGTTCGGGATATGCTCTTCTAAGCTGACGTCCCAGGATTGGAGTATCACGTAGACGCATGTGCCGCCCACCCAGGCGTTGAAGCCATACCAGACTAATGACCGTTAAAATCGTTACTTATCGTCACGTAGAATGTTACCCACCAAGAGAAAGGAAAATTCGGTTCCAGATGACGAATTGGGATCCCCACATGCCCCATACCGCACGATTGGCGACGGGGAAGCCGACTAAGAAGCTAAGTCAGCGCGCGGCTGAGGAGGAGGGTTAGCAGAGTTGACGAACTGTGGTAGTAAGCACCCGGGAGAGAGTTGACGACGCAAAAGGCTGCCGCCAGAAGATTGCCGATGACGATAGAGACAATGGCCTGCCACCAGGTCAAACCTAGCGGGATCAAGGCGCTTCCGGTCAAGTAAGTCGCGATGCTAAAGTTGACGAGGAGCCAGTAATTGTTGAAGACCATGAACCCCCAAGTGCGTCTCGCCGCCTCGATAGGGCGGATGTCATAGTTCTGCGGTCTTTGTCAGCAGCTACCCCGGAAAGACTCGGCAGGTTGGCACTTACGATCCATCGGCAAACCGGGGTCGTGTGCGCGACCTGAAGTCTCTCGGACCAAGACACCATCGTAGACAATTGACGCTCAAGATGAACGTCGTTTACCTACGCATGCCAACGGGGGCAGAGTAGGAGTCGGCGGGGACTCCTGCTTATCTATCTCGAGAGGTCGTCGCGTCGGACGCAACCGACCTACACACCACCGCGCCTCGTTATCTGCGGATCTGGTTCCAATCGCAGGCTTCACGGAGGGCAGCGGATAGGGGCCGACTAGTGCCGACTAGGGGCGGGATTCAGGTAGGGGCTGGGGCGATCAATAGATAAGGGTTCTACTGACGACGCAGGCAAAACATCCCTAGGCTTGCGGTTATTTCTCTGTATCCGTCCTAGCGCGGAACTGACACTGACGTTCTGAACCTCTACTCGCATATGTACCCCGCGTTGGGGTTATAGGGGTTTAACCATTAAATAAAGAGCGAATTGACTTGCGACCTTTATGTATAGGAACCTACAGAGTACATCTAATAAGAGGTATAACTTTGATATCGGGAATATTATAGGTATTTATTACGAGCTGTGATAGAGAATGGCAAATGTCAAGACAATAAACCATCCTGGATATCGTTTGGCCTTGTAGACGAACAACGTACCTAGGCATGTTCCGTAAAATGTCGCATCACTTGTTCTTAGTAAATGAGTACATGGCTATTGGTTATATTGAAATTGGTAGCCCCGAACACTCACGGACTTTTTATATCCTCTTATTCGAGATTTGAAAAGTGGAGAGGACGTGCTTATAACCAAGTAGGAAAACAATGAGGTAAGAAACGTGCAGTTTGCCTTGAAGTCTGCGCCTTGGAGTGCAGTTCCTTCTTTGCTTCGTCCGTCGTCTCCTTCGCCGCCATCGCCACTACATGGACTCTGCTTGATAGGGAGTGGCCTTGGCCCGGAACAGATATGTCGGGGTGAGGGGCGTTCGTCCTTTCCTCATACGACAGACGCTCAAACTTCTTGTTCGTCGCGAGCGCTTACGCAAGTAGCCCAGGCGATACGCCACTGTCAGTGAGCCACAATCGTTGACCTCGTCTATCAGCCAACCGCCTTCGGCGTCGCCATTTTTTGGTAAAGGACCGAGAAGTCAGTTTTTAGGGCTATCGTGAGCCTCGTCGGCAGTGGCCTTTGCTAGTGTCGTCTACAGGATCTATTTAGATAACTACTGCAGTGGACCGATCTAGTCTCAAGAGGACGAATACCACTAGGTGCAATGATTCGACATCGCGAACATTGCTAGAAGCTATAAAAGCTAGCGAAATGGCTAGGTAGATGTCCAGAGACGACGATGCCCTCAATTCCTTATCAACGAGAATTGTAATTTGTAACCTTACACCTCCGCCATCAGTCATTATCGCTACTACGGCTAAAATTCCCTAATCGGTCGAAATCAAGTGGGGAGCAGCTCACGACGGCACTCCGCGCGTCGGCGGATGGATTTCCTAGTTTGTCCCTTGGCGATAGGGAATCTTTCGGACTGCTTTCGGCTCCACCTCCGAAGCACGTTTCGCTATTCCGATCGCTAACAACTAAGCTTCAATCCAGTCGCGAGAAATGCTTGCATTCCCTACCTGATACAAGCCTAACTCTTCCCGCAGCAAATGATATTTCGGGCAGATATTTGCTGAGTAACCCTGCCATCGGAGAGAAAGCTCAACCCAGGGTAACGATCGTCTGCTGTTATTACCTACCTAGGTACCTAGTAAGTATCGAACTCTCTTCACGCACGACGCCAACATGTATCGTATAGGCGTGGATGTAGGCGGAACCAACACGGACGCCGCGATTCTAGACATCGCAGCGTCGGACTCGCCAAATCGCGGCGTCCTAGCATCATGCAAGTCGTCCACCACCGAGGACATAACATCAGGCATCGCCAGCGCTATAGGCACGGTTCTTACCAATTCCAATGTTCCTAAGGCCGACGTCCTAAGCGTCACTATCGGCACTACACATTTTGTAAATGCTCTCGTCGAAGCCGACACCCGGCGACTTAGTCGCGTGGGCGTCGTGCGCCTTTGCGGGCCTTTCACACGACAGATCCCGCCCTTCACCGACTTCCCCGTCGGACTTCGGCGGATTATGGACGGCGGAGCATGGTACTTGAACGGCGGCCTGGAGATTGACGGGCGAGAGATCTCTCCTCTCGACCCTGGCCAAATTAAGGCCTGCGTCGAGGAGTTGCGCTCCAGAGGCGTCACGGCAGTGGCCCTCGTCGGCGTCTTCTCCCCACTCGATCACGAAGGCACCCACGAAGAAAAGTGCAAGCGGCAGATGTTAGCACTGAACCCAGCCTTAAACGTCGTTTGCAGTCACAATATCGGGCCTCCGGGATTGCTCGAGCGGGAGAACGCAACTATCTTGAACGCGTCCATCCTAGCAACAGCAAGAAAAACGGTACGCGGATTTAAGTTGGCAATGAAGCGCTTACAGCTCAGCTGTCCGTTGTATCTGTCCCAGAATGACGGAACACTCGTCGGCGCCAACGAGGCGGCGGATTTCCCCATCAAAACATTTGCAAGCGGCCCGACCAACAGCATGACAGGAGCAGCATTCCTTGCGGGGCTGGACGGGCCGCGAGTCTCGCAAGCCGATGGTGAGGTAACCGGCTCTATCAAGGAAAATCATCAAGTCTTAGTCATAGATATCGGCGGAACTACTACCGACGTCTGCGCGCTTCTTCCGACCGGATTTCCACGCCAAGCCCCGAACTTCGTCGAGATCGGCGGCGTCAGGACGGCCTTTTCCATGCCCGAAGTCGTTTCTATAGGTCTTGGCGGAGGAAGCAAGATCGGAACCGACTCAAAAACCGGCGAAGTCACGGTTGGCCCCGACTCCGTCGGTCACTTTTTGACCGAGCAGGCACTAGTCTTCGGCGGATCCGTCCTTACCGCCAGCGACGTCGTGGTCGCGTCCGGAGGCGCCCAGCTCGGCGATCCCTCCAAGACTTCTGGCGTCGCCCCTGACACAGTATTAGCAGCAAAGAACAAGATAAAGCAGATGCTTCAGTCGGTCGTCGAAAAGATGAAAGTCTCCGAAGCACCGGTGCATGTTCTTCTAGTCGGCGGCGGCTCACTTCTCGTCACCGACGACCTCAAACTCGACAACGTCGCCACGTGTCAGAAACCTATCCACCACGGCGCCGCCAACGCGGTCGGCGCAGCTATCGCAAAGGTAGCCGGCGAGATCGACATCATAGAAATCCTGGAAGGGAAGGATGAAAAGGCCGTCGTCGGTGCCGCCTGCGAGAGAGCGACGCGAGAGGCAATTCGCAAAGGGGCGGCTCCGGGGGATGTGAAGATCGTATCGATCGACAAGATCGCGTTACAGTACACGACTAAAAAGGCAACGCGGCTCGTCGTCAAAGCAGTAGGGCAGCTAGCCACCCCCGACGCCGGACTTACCACGCTACCAGCCGAGAATCAGCAACTAGACGGAGACGAAGAAGAAGAAGATGAGACGAAGGAGGGAGTAAAGGCGCACATACCCGACGCAGCCGAACCGGTTGCGAAGCCGTGTTTAAAGACGGATCTCGACACCTACCGGCCCGAAGTGAGAGATAAAACATGGTATCTCTCCGAGGTCGACCTGGAGCTTATCGCAACAGGAACGGGCGTCCTGGGCACCGGCGGCGGCGGACCTTCTTACCACGAATTCCTCAAGAGCCTCAACGTTCTACGAAGCGGAGGGTCTGGGAAGATGCGCGTCATCTCGCCGCAAACTCTCAAAGATTCCGACCTAGTCTGTTTCGGAAGCTGGTACGGCGCTCCGAGCGTGATCAACGAGCGACTCGCTAGCGGAACCGAAATCGTAGACGGAATCGAAGCCGTAAAGAGCATACTCGGCATCGACTCATGTCAAGCGGTCATAGCAGATGAAATGTAAGTTACAGGAACGTAGTATCCCCATGTGGCCGCCTCTAACTAACGAAATAGCGGCGGCGGAAACGGGATGAGCACCTTCCCCACCGGCGTCCATTACGACATCCCAATAGTTGACGGAGACGCGATGGGACGGGCGTATCCCACTATGTATCACTGTGAGCTTTTTTCGTCGAAGGTCTCTTATCGGCGAAACCCTAACTCGATTAGCGACATTGTACATTAATGACGAACCTATAATGCCTTGCGCACTCACCGACGCCAGAGGCAACGTCTCGATCGTGATGGTGAGTGCAATTGTTAGTAACCTGCGTAGAACAGACACTTACCGTTTGGTAGCAAGCCGAATCGCCCACCCGCGTCGAATCTATCCTTCGAACAACAGCCGTCGAGCTCGGCCTGGGTTGCGCCGTTTGCGCGAGGCCATTAAGCGGAGACGTGATTCGACAGTACGTCGTCGAAAACACCGTCTCCCAAGCCTGGTATCTCGGGCGAGCGGTACATCAGGCTAGGAAGTATAAGAGAAGCCTCACCGACGCTATTGTTAGCTATCTCATGTTTCCCATAGGTTACATCTTGCTGATCGTGCTTTAACAGTTTCGTAACACCCCTGGAAAATTGCTTTTCACGGGTAAAGTCATCGACGTACGGCGTGATATCGGTGGCGGTTACACAATGGGTAGCGTCCTGATCGCGCCTTTCAACGACGAAGAGACTGCTTCCAACACCGGCATCGACGACCAGCGTCACATGATCATCCCATTTCAAAACGAGTTCTTATATGCCGCTTACACGGACTCAAACGGAGCAGAAGAGAGCGAGATCGTCTGCACCGTGCCTGATCTCATCTCCATCCTCGGCCAAGACGGGGAAGCGCTCGGGTCGCAGGAGTTGCGGTACGGCCTGCAGGTAAGCGTCATCGGAATGCCGTCGCACCCGTTGTGGAAAACGGATATAGGGCTCAAGGTTGGCGGACCTGAGGGATTCGGCTTAAAGATACCTTTTAAGGGGGTGGGCAAGTATGCGCCGCCTAAAAGTGTCATTGACGAGTTTAACGCGTAAGATATTTAAATGTTGATTAAGATACCACACTTGACTGTTGTTAATATGGTGATGGCTTCTGGTGCTCGTCTGATAAATGGGACCCCACCTAAAACTTGCTTAGTCAGTTCAAATAGGGGTCATTTGATTGACCTCGGTTCGGAACTGTAAGTACCTACTCCTTCACTGAACTTAGCTAAGCACATCAGATGATCCCTTGCTGAGTCTCGGTTTAGGACGCTAAAAGTAACGGGATTTTTGCAATCTATAGGGAATTTCTAAAGATCTTGCTAGGATCCCTATTGCGATATACTGTATTTACGAAACAATTATTTGATTTACGATATTTATTGTATCAGGTATTAAGACGTTCTTGCCAAAGCTTGCCGAGTTACTTTACTCCTCTTGTTACCACCAGGAAAGAACTTGACTCTCATCTAAATTTCGGCAAAAACGAATAAAGGACCTTTTAAGCAAATAATTTAAACCCGCCAGGAACGTTCCTCTGAAATAGACCTTCAGGATCGTATTTACGGCTCACCTCCTGCAGGAACTTCTTATTCTCTTCGCCGTAGGACGTGAACGGGTCCTGGAAGCCGGACGCATAGTTTAGGTAGATGTAGGGCACCCGCTGGCCACGCTTCTCGGCGTCTTTTTCGATCGCCTCCAACGCGCCACGAAGAATAGCCAGTATTTGCTCATCATCTTCCTTGTTCTTCCAGTAGGTCAACAGCAGCACTGTTACTAGAGGCTCTCCCGCATCTATCCCGAGCACATTTCCACCGAACTCATTCGTCTTGCGTAGGAGCGACTTTGGATAAGCTTGTAGCGTGAGACACAACACGATTCCCTCGATAGGCTTTAGATGGTCGATAGCCTTGGAGTATATGTCGGCCGCGGCCAGCAGAGCAGCCGTATCAGCACGCAAGGTGCAGTTCATGTAAGCGCAACGGACACGATCCGACGCCATGACGGCGTGCTCCGTAGCACCTTCCATCAGCGTCATGACGCGGAGCGAGCTGAGCTGGTCCAGCTGCGGCTGAACGCTGGTAAACGGCTCAAGCATAGGCGGAACACCAATCTTGCCCGTTCCCAGATCCTTGACACCGTAGACCGAAGCGGCATCTCCACCGGTGTAATAAACCTGGTTCAGGCCCATCATATTGTCGCCAAACTGTGCCGAGTAGCCCAGGTTGACCATTATGTGTGTTTCGTCGGAAGGATCGGGCTTGCGGACCTCGTCGACTAAAGCTTCGACCTGTTTCGGGTAGTTGGCATCCGAGGCTAAGTAGAAGACGGCGCCGCCCCAGAAGGGTTGCTGGGGGAAAGTGCGCAGATCGTAGCGCGTCACGACGCCGAAATTATTGCCACCACCCTTGAGCGCCCTCCAAAGATCCGCGTTTTGATGGGCGTTGGCCTGGACCACGGCGCCCGAGGCGAGAACAACCTCGAAATTGACGACATTGTCGCAGATGAAACCCTCTCGCGAAGAGAAGAAGGAAAGGCCACCAGAAAGCGAGAGTCCGCCGATCCCGCCTTTGGCAGACCGACTTCCCCCCACACCGAGTCCAGCAGCTTGCACTATCTCGTAGACCGGTCCCCACCGCTCGCCGGCCCCGACAGACACAAAGCCTTGCTTGAGTTCAATGCCCGTCAGACGGCTCAAATCCAACGTGATGCCGTCCTGGATGTTCGAGCAAGCTTCCAGAGGCTGCTGGCCAGCACCCCTAATCGCGAACTGCACGCCGTTTTCCTTGACAATTTGGAGAAAGGCAGTTACTTCGCTTGCGTTTTTGGGCTGGAAGATCGCCGCAGGAGCGTAGTCACTTTGACGGGCAGAGAGGTAAACGTTGTTGAAAGTTTCATACGCCTCTGTACCTGGCAGAGGAAGCTGTTCGCTGGGGAAATCATGCTGCAGCGCATTAACAGCTTGCTCGGCCGTCATTTCGCGGTTATCTTGACTTCACAGGATAAACCCGAGTTTGTGTATTGGGCGATGATTCTAAAAGAGCCAGAGAAGTAGACGGCGGAATGATTTTGAATTATGTTCCCGAAGTTCTCATCGAATCCAGTCCGCTCCGGTTACGAAAAGGGAAAACAATCTTCACAACACAATTTCTGTTTGAGGTATTAGCGCTCCCTTTGTATAACGGTCGAGTAAGGGCTGGGCGGTGGTATTATTAACCTGCTACCCGATCAGTTGTTGGTAGCAGTTACCTCATCTCCCTTAGCAAACTCCAATCACATTCGAAATCCCCTTGCTTCGCTATGCTCGCGGGGCTGTATACTCGGCTTGTCTAGTATTTACCTTTGATTTATTTTTTACGACATGATCACCTGGGTATACTACACTTTTATGACAGTGCTTCATTTGCAACTCTTCGGGCTCTTACAATATTGTTTTCAGATAATTCGATATTCACCAATTTTCCTTAGCGTCATCGAGACACGAAGATGCCACTAACCGCGAAATCGGCGGAGCAAAATGTAGTCAATAGCGAGCCAAGAATGCGTGAGTCGCCTGATGGTGAAGGAGCCCCGTCGGAAGTACCTAAGCCGCGCCATTCGCTTCGGTTCTGGGGAACGTTCGTAGCTCTTTGTCTTCTGTCTTTCATCTCCGCACTAGATGTTGCGATCGTCACAACTGCCCTACCCAATATCATAGACTCAGTCGGGGGCGCGTCGCAATACGTATGGATCGCCAATTCCTTCGTTGTCGCCTCGGCCGTGCTACAGCCGCTTACCGGGCAGCTTGCTAACGCACTCGGCCGGCGAGGACCACTCATCGCCTCGACCGCGCTCTTTGCTCTAGGCAGCGGGGTTGGCGGGGGAGCACACAGCGCCGCTATGCTAATCGCCGGCCGAGTCGTTCAGGGCGTCGGGGCCGGCGGCATTAACGTGCTGCTCGATATCGTTTGTTGCGACTTGGTTCCTTTGCGCGAACGGGGAAAATACCTCGGCTTGATGTTCTCGTGGTCCGGAATAGCTGCCGCTTTAGGTCCTCCCGTCGGCGGTGCGCTTGCACAATCAAATTGGCGATGGATTTTTTGGCTAAACTTGCCGGTCTGCGGACTCGCGCTCGCCGCATTGCTACTCTTCATGCGAGTCAAGACCGGCGGACCGATTGCCACAGACCCCGATACACAGACTGAACGGCTAGATGAGGGCGGACGGCGCCGGACCATAGTTGGAAAACTCAAACGGCTAGACTTCCTCGGTAACGCACTTTTCACCTTGAGCATGGTATCGCTCCTGTTGGGGCTTGTCGAGGGCGGAACCGTACACCCTTGGTCGTCATGGCGTATCATATTACCCTTAGTGCTTGGCGTTGTGGGCTGGATCACCTTCCACATCCAACAACATTTCGCGGCACACGCAAGCGTCCCAACTCGTCTCTTCACTAACCGCACCTCGGCCACAGCATATCTTTTGACGTTTCTTACATCCGTACTCGTTCAAACCCTTGCCTATTTCCTACCCATCTACTTCCAGGCCGTCAAAGCTACTACGATCCTTGAGTCGGGCGTCGACTTCTTGCCGATGGCTATAGGGACTCTCGTATTTGCTGTCGTCGCCGGCATCCTGTTGAGTCATCTCGGCAAATACCGAATTTTGCATATCATCTCTCTCGCCTTGTCAATCCTCGCCTTTGGTCTCATGACCCGCCTTAATGCTGACACATCCAAGGTAGAATGGGCCTGGTACGAATTGATTGGGAGTATGAGCTCCGGTCTGACATTATCTACTCTTCTGCCTGCCATTATGGCTGGCCTGCCAGAAAGAGACGTTGCTGTGGCAAGCTCAACGTACAGCTTCATCCGCACGTTTGGATGGATATGGGGAGTAACTGCTCCAGGGATAATTTTCACCGCTATCTTCGATGGCAACCTTGATCAAATCTCCGATTTAGGTCTGCGGAAGCAGTTGTCAGGGGGCCAGGCCTACTCATTCGCCAGCCAGGTGCATAATGTCCGCAATAAATACAGCAAAGCTGTTTGGATGATGATGATGATGAATTTGTTTACGTCCAGGGGCTATAGCAGTACTAAGTACACATAGCAGCGCGTATCGGTGACGCATGGGACGTCTAGAGTACCTACCTAGGTAGGTAGGCAGAGCTAGAGTTCCGCTTGACATAAGGGAATTTTTATCCTCCACTCCTGCCTCTTGCATTACTCTAGCTAGTGAGCGCCGGCCCTAGCTAGCCGATTATATTCAGGAAAAACCCTACTCCGGGTCCACCTTCTTCTAACGTCTCAGAACCACCCTCCAACGCCCAGTGAGCCCTAAAGCGGGGTGAAAAAACCTGAATAAATCGGACCGTTGGTTAAGTTGCCCACAGCGGGATTCGAACCCACTCGCTTCACGTAGTCGTACGCTAATGCGCGGCCAGACGCTTTAACCACTGCGCCATGTGGGAACAAAGCTGTTTGGAGTGAGGTCACCGCAGTTTATATCGAAAGCTTGAGGGCCATTTGGTGGTTCGGACTAGGTGTTAGTATCTTGGCCTTATTGGCTATCGCTGGCGAGAAGGAGCTTGAGCTGAGGAAGGAGCTGGAAACGGACTATGGCTTGGAAGAAGCGAAGGGACATGTACAGAATTAACTTGATTCCTCGATCTCGTTGTTTTATACTCCAAATTGTTTAATTAACTTACGATCTCACTAAGTTGCACGTTTATGATTGACTTGTACTTAATTTATTATTGTGTTACCCAATGGTAACCTCGCCTTTCTGTTCTTACTTGAAAAGATGAGCGGTACAATGATCCTCCCTTTCTTCGGTTCGTTCCTTGTAGAAAACTCGGGTGCCCAAGCATTTTTTCGGCGCCACCTTTCCGCTTTTCTTGTTAGCGCGGCTACATCTGGTATTGATCTCTAAATTCTTGCACTGCGTATAGATATCAAGGTTAGTGTTTTTACCAGTACTCGTTGGGGTATACGGAGATACGAATAAATTCTTTAAAGATACCGAAATGAAAAGAATAAACAGAAAGGGCTCAACTACCTTCTGTCACCAGGCTATCCCACATCTCAACGAGGTTATTCTTTTCTAGATTAAGCACAAGGTCCGGCCCCGGCTTGGCATCTTCTTCGAACTCTTCCTGTAGAGATGTCATGTCGCTCAGGATTGCTACCGCTCCCCCTGTATATCAAATCGATTGAAAGCTCTTGTGTTAACCTTTCTCGTAGATATAACCATGTCTTCGCCTTGTCAACCGGAGAGGAGCAAATGGAACCAATACAATGAGGCATATACTCACCTAGGAGCTTCTCTAGGTCGCTCAGCGTAGGACCCGACTGGTCTTCCATCTTCTGGTCGCCCATTATCTTCTTCGAATGGTAACAGAGCCGTCAGTTCACACACAAAAAAGAAAAAGAAAAAGAAAGGAACATATGGTGGTGTGTATTCCACGTACCAGGAGGCTTTGCACTGCCTCCATATCTTGTTGGTAGTCCTCGTCATCACCATCGGACTCTCTCAGGAGTTTTGAAATAGTAGAGGAGTCTTGTAGTGGCTTCTCCATTTCTCCGAGCTTCGCCTGATTCTCGATGATGGTCCGGACTGAGCTGGTCATATCCGTCTTGACAGTAGAGGCTACGTCGGATATAATTCTTAGGGTTTCCACTCGATCCTTGATGGTCTGGTCTATCTGCCGGTGGAGGCTCTCGTTATCCGGGTCCTTGTAGAGCTCTGCAAGGCCGTCGAATATGATGTCTTTTACATTGTGTTTTGGTCAGTTATATAAACGCAGTGAAAGCTAGCGTAGATAGGTGATCAAGGCTTTCGGTACCGTAATCTTTTCTGGCGCCTGCCCCTGCGGCGATCACATAGTCGCAGACGTCTGTGACTTTACGATAGTAAACCTTGTATTAACGATCAGATAAATTTCGTCACGGTGCTGAACATCGGAGGGAGCGAAGATTTACTAGAGTCTCCGTAGATGCGCTGCATATCTGTGTATTCGTCAGCGTGGATCGTAAGGAACTAGTAAGCAAAGGAGGGGAGTGTTAAAACGCACTTTGTAAAATGTATCCTCGATAGGAATCAGGTACAAAGCATAAAGCTTGCGAGGTGTTAGCAGTTAACACCATAGAATAGGATATGCCGATGGATGGAGTAGGTCAGGCCTCGTCCGCGTGAGCTTAGTGATTTGCTTACAGCACCGAACCCCGCATCGGTGAAGCCGACAGTTTTGAGCTGCTGGTCGGTATAAGGTAGTTTCTGTGCTTTGCAGCGCCTTGCGGATGTCGGCGAAGGCAACCGTTCGGCAGCAGAACTTCTGGTCCACCAGGAGGCCTCTTGGGGCTAGGAACACGTCTGTTGCCGTTGACATGTTTTATTGTTAGGTATATGATAGCCAAGTGCTAACTGCGGATGTCTTCTTTCTCGGTGATCTCTTTACAAAACAATGCACAACTATGAAGTGTACGGGCCGACCATAGTAGATTATGATGAATAAACAGGAAGGGGAGGGTCTCTTCCCTTATTCAGTCACCACTTGGCAAATGTCATGCAAAACTTCAAGTTCCACGGAACCTCAATGTCATGGGAGCTCGAAGAGGGGTATTGGTGAAACGGTGGTAGTGATATGGCGTCGATATGCACAGTTTTGACACGCATTCTACACAAGTTCCACAAGACCTGCAGGCCGCCGGTTAACAAAGGTTCTTTTCGAGCAAGTGTGGCGGTAATTCATGACGTGATAATGATATCTGGGGACTGTCACTGGGCGATTTACATCTAATCTTCTACTGAATTACTCCCAAGAGACTTCTGTACAAGAGGGTAGGTATCTAGGTACCTAGGCATGAAGGTGTTCCAATTTGCGTATTAATGGCACTTGTAGGTCTGGTACGGGCGTTGTAAGCTGCTAATTAGGAACAATACAACAATAACTTATCCAAATGCATTGAATTGATCCCGTCATGCTCGTGATGTGACACTTAAAATTGCTCGGGAACACATGTACTGACAAACTGTCGTAACATTCGTTAATTTCGTACAGCAATTTCACCAGCTTCCCAGCCGGGTACTAGAGAGCTGGAATAGGTATTCCCTAGCTATGTACGACATTGCACCCCCAATCACCGGCCACCTACGACATCACTCCTCCCGGACCCGGTAGTGCCCTACCCAGTAAAGATTTACAGCTTCAAGGCCACTTAGGTCGACGTCATCGGGATTTATGAGCTTAATGGTCCATTGGGTGAACGGCGTCGGCTCGGCGTGGTTCACGGTAGGGAAGACGGCGTGGTCCCAGATCTCGCCGCTCTCGCCCGACGCCAGCAACTCATACGAGAAGTTGCGGACTTGGCGGAGACTCGCGAAGCTAAAGATCTGGTCATCCTGCACGTCCTGGTAGAGGCCCGAAGTGCTGATCTGTAGGTCAACGACCACCTTGCCGTCCTCGAGACTCTCCGGCTGCGGCAGCGCCCCGCGCAGCGTGGGCTCCATCCCTTCGAGCCGGTAGTGGAAGCCCTTGGTAAATTCAGCGGCGAAGCTCCGGTTCCCGTCGGCATCGAGCTCGGGTGACAGCGTGAAACTGGCTTGGTGGTCGGGGGATTTGAGGCCGTCGAGGATTAGCTGGTGGTAGTTGGATGGCAGCTAAAGCACCATTAATTAGTGTCTTAAATATGGTTTCGGACTGTAGGTAAGAAAGGAAACAGACCTTGGTGGAAGGAGTAGGGTAGTTGAACGCTGTAAGCTTGGGTCAGCATAGGTGATTTCAGGGACGGACGGACGGACGGACGTTCAAAGTCTGTTGCGTACGCAGCATCTGCGTTGTCGATGTCTTGCTTAATGGCCAGCTTATCTTGCCGGTACTCAGCGGTCGACTTGAGCACATCTAAAGTGACCCTACTATCCTTTAAGGCGTAATATTTGTATGCCCAAGTGATATTTCGCATCTCGATCACCAGGCTGGTCCGCAAGCCCATGAAGCGGTCAAAAAGACTGGCCTTTGCTGCTTCGTACACATCCTCCTGTCCTTCGTACTTGTCTACCAGCGACTCGAGGCGTTCTACATCCCTATCGCACAGCACGGCCTCCATCGCGGCTTGGACGTACTGCTGGCCGGCCTTGATGGCTTCCGCCTGAGCCTGGGCCAGTAGCTTGCCGTTGATAGCGTGCTTTCGCAGGGCGAGCTGGTACGTGTCAGCCGTATTGATGCTATTATCCACGGCGAACTTTAGCGATAGATCCGCTTCCGTGATCCATTTTTCCCAACTGGCGACGGTCACGAGAGCCGCGCTGTCGGCGTCGGCCGAGCTCGACCCGGTTATGGTGTCGGTAGGAGGGATTTTGGCGCTTGGGTCTGTCTCGAGCACTTTGGCCGCGTCTACGATCTGCTGTATCGCTGGGTATAGCGCCTGGAGGAATTCGACGCACTTTTTGAGGCTTTTCAGCGTGTCCGAGGAGATGAGCTTAGCGATTGCACCGGCCTCCTTCTCGAACTCTACGACGGTCTCGATCGCGGCTTCGGCTGCCCCGGCAGCCTCGCCGCCCCCATCGACAAACATTCCACCGACGCTGACCGCGAATTCTGCTTGGACGTTAATAATCCGGAGCGGTCTTATGAGTTTAAGGAGAGCGGAAAGGAATTGCATCGACATACGGGCCACAGCAACAATGATTTTACAAACAGCGAGAAACTTTTGCCAGTCCGACCATTTCCCCAATTCTTCCTCAAACCTGTCGCTGGCAATCCCTATCTCCGTATTTTCCGCCTGCATCTGGCGGTAGCATTTCTCGGCCGTTGCGGCTGCATCGTTGTACCTGTCTAGGGCAGCCTGGCGCTGGTATCGGCGAGTGCTCGCTCCGTCGCGGGCCTTAGCCAGCATCTCTTTCCACTGCGCTAGCTGAAGCTCTACCTCCTGCTCCATGTTGGCGAACCGGTTGTACAGGTCCTCGTACGCCGACGCCGCGTCCAACGCCGCGTCCAGGGTGTCCATGTACCGCTCGAGCTGCAGGACGGGGGCGTAGCTGCTGCCGTCATCCGTGACCGCCTGCGCCGCGAGCTGCTGGCCCAGCGCCACGGCTTGGGAGTTGAGGAGGTAGTGCGGGGAAGGCGCCACGGTGAAGGCGGCGACATGGGCGCAGAGAGAGATGGCAACGGACGTATTCTTCCAGAACATCACCGAAGCGATACGCAGTTGCGTCTCCAGGCTAGATTCGTGACTCTGTCTGTTGTCGTAATTGTACCTCTTGAAGTAACCCAACGTGACCGGGTTCGTAGTGTCGGCGCTGACGGCTATAGTTACCCCGAGATGCCCAGACCCCGGACCCAAGTCCAGCTTTTGGGGTTCCGAGTTCCCAGCCTGTACCGCGACATCTTGATCCAAGAGCGATGCGTAGATGGCGACGGCGCAACTACCATGAGCTGGTGGGGTCACCTTGAGAGTCACGGGGGCGTCCGCTGTGATAACCCTCGTCAGGATGGTCACTACCGCATTCTCCGATAGACCGAACACGGTATCCAAGTCTAGAGCGAGCACATCGGTATACACATAAAGCTGTTCAGGGCTTGCCTTGAGCAGTGCTGATCCATCCAGGTATACATCATGCTGTCATAAGTAACGAATTAGCGCGAACCGATGCCAGAGGAACATCATCTTAGCAGATGGAGTACAATGTCGTCGCACCATTTGCATTCCTGATTGGCCTTGCCTCAGAGGGATTGCTTCAACCTCAGTCGAGGTGGCGTATGCCCGCCAATCGGCAGGCGACCGTGGGTTTTCCGGAATGTCAGTCATTGTCAGGGAAAGGAGTGCTCCGTGATAGAAGTCGTACATAGAGTGAATGCTAGGTAGTAGTGTAGTGTTAGTGAACTATCAACGCTCACCCTATATGTTAATCTATCCTAATCTCACCCTATACCTGTTCCGGAGTAATTCACATTGTCCGTCGGCAGTCATCACGATTCACGGCGGCTTTCCACGTGAACGATGGCGGTTCCTATTCTGCACTGCTGGCCACCTGGTATAAAGTTATTCAACCTCTTGACACCTGACATATTATATACATTTTCACCCGAGCCAAGCCATCCACGATATATTAAATAATTATTTGCAGGCTGCAGGATTCTCGGTCCGTACTTCAGCTATTACGACGTGCGTGCAATGCTACTAGCCCCTCGCTATGAGATTCTCACAAAATAAGGCATTAATTATCGTCAATCTTACCAGGTCTGCCAGGTGTATCTCTGAGCCGATGATTTGCATTAACGATTAGGAGTGAACAAGTTCCGGGCAGGCCTAATCACGGCATCAAACCGGAGAAGCTTTGAATAGCAATGATAAGGATGGTGGCGGTTAGGTCATTAGGAAAAATCCGAACACGGAAAGCACAAAGCAGGTTTCCACACCTGTCCAAATCATGATCATTTGAAAGTACAAAGATTCCAATTGCTTCCGGTAGCCGTGCATGGTATAGCTGTCACGCCCACATAAGGTGCAAAATTATCGTTAACCAGTGAGAAGTTAAAGCGCAAAACTAAGTATGGCAACATTTAAGCATGACATTTACACCGACAGGCCGAAGCTGAGTTTAAGAAAATGCCGTGTAAACAGCTTAATTACCGTTTTCAACATTCTTTATTATATTAAATTAAATATTTTAAATATTTATTTAATTTCATAACCTTGCTTTACATTAAAACGTCCTTACAATTTAAGGTCAATCCATTTAACTTAATATATTATATAAGTGCTAATTTTAATAATTATATTTATCCATTCTTTTTATCAAGATTAATCAATATTATCAAGGCCCATAATGGGGGTAAAAGGCAGGTTTGATCCATCCAAGCCCATCGACGACCCGACAGTCTGGTATCCGCATCCGAATTTATGGGTTAAGCTTGACACTAGCAGCAAAGTTCGATCCGGCGACGGCGATAATAATGACCTTAAAGATTGTGCATTTGCGTTGGATTCTGCCGATTTTGCGAAACTGAATCGCTACGTCTGGACGGCCAAGTTACTACCTACCAATCGCAACGACTACATGTGCTACAACAGCATCCCATCGAACAATGAGCTGCCTAAAGAAGTATGGGACGCAGCTGACGGTGTCCTCGCGACGTATGCTCTTGTAAGTGCTGGCAACTCAGTACACACCCACCTATTATTATTACTTTATTAACTAAGTCTCCTACCGTCGGTGTTCGTAGATGCAGAAAGAGGCCGACACATTTCTTGATGACACCTGGAAAGACCTAGTTAGTATTTCTAACAAGATCTTTAATTACGCCATGGTAAGCTATATACAAAGGTAGCATCTTCATTATGGAAGATTAACGACGTATTAACCATTGCGGCTTCTTGATAGAATGCCGGCGGGAGAATTGACTCCTCGTACTATCGTCAATTGTTGATCTGGGTAGGCGATTACAACAAGGAGAACGAAAAGGATAAACCCGACTACGACAAGTTGAAAGAAATCCAAAACAGCATCCTGGCGGTTACCAAAAGCGAAATGAACAATGCCAACAAGCTTCAAAGTGAAACAGACACGGCCAAGGGGGCGCTTAAGAGTTTCCACGATGCTTGCGTAGGACACCAGAGCAATCTCGAAGGCTCGTCCGGCACGCTGCAGAACCTATTGACGGGGCAAAACGGGATCATCAAAGACTTGACAAAAGAAATCGAAGAGCAAATGAAGGAAGTAGCAAACCTCCAGGCGCAACTCGAAGCAGGTATGTGCGTCGTCCACTAACCCTGGGTACATTAACACTGCTTAGCTGACCAATTTTGCCATTGAGTAGATCGCAAGAAGATTCGAGATGCAGGTTACTACGTTTGGATGTCAGTGAGAAAACCCTAGTTCCGTCCTGAGTAATGAACATGTCTCACATAATCACAGTCCCTTATGGGGTACCATCGCTGGCATCGCCGTAGCCGTATTGTCTGAAAAGGATATTGAACGATTGAGGAAGATCTTGGAGAGGGTTCAAGATTTGATCTGGAGCGATCAAGACAAGCTAAGGAGTGCGAAAATAATAAGTTCTGACCTAATTGGTATGCAAGTACGTTTGGTGTCTTCTTTTAAAACCCCTTTCCTTGTCCGTTCCGCCTATCGCGGATCATGACTCCTTTTCGAATCTATGGCTGACGCAAAACGAATCTTTTGAAGACTTCCGTCCAGGAACTGGTTAAATGCATCCAGCCAGCCCTTAGTACACTGGAAAAGATCCAGGGCGCGTGGTCCGCTATGTCGGGCGACCTCGAAGGTCTTCATGATCTATTCAAGAACAACCTCGATAGCATCCCGCCCCTCGTTCTCGAGGAACTGCAACTGAAAAAGATTGTCGAGCATTGGAATCAGCTTAAAGATGATGGTAGGGCCCCTTTCTGTCCTTCCTCATTTTCTTGTTATTGACTCCCTACCATCACAATTTTAAAATTACGATAAGGGCTGGAGGAACTTTACTAACATATTATTAAAAGTGGACATCTTCCGCAAGAACATGTATATGACGACAATGCCCCCGAGGGATACTATTCAGGGCTTCCAAGATAAACTTGGTTCCGTAGGAAATTGATCGGACGGAATTCTCCATTTCGGAGGTGGACGGTTACATACTATTTGCATGTCTGGAACGAAATGAATCATATTCTGTGGAAATCAATGCAACTTAACTCGGATTAATTAACGAAGATACATTTCGGAGCATCAGTAAAGGTACCTAATAATCTTGTCACTCGTTTGATTTTATGTATTCAACCCGACAGTCGGTTCAATTAACGTGCAATTTGTTTGAACTACAATTAAAGCTACATTCTAATTAACCTGCGGTTGATTTGCCGTTTGATTTGCAGTTGACCTTAAAGTCTAATTGAACTTCAGTTGAACCTGTAGTAATTGACCTGCGATTTAATTGACTAGTATACAGTGTACAGCCAAAGATCGAACGTTTCCCTGAACCCCCGCCATTAGTTCAAATTTTTGTATGAGCGTTTCCTTGGGGCCCATTTATTGATTGGCTAGTAAACCTTAAATGTTGTTAAGCCACGTGCTAAGGCTGCAGGAAACGTTGCTAAAATAATCTTATTCTTAACCCCGGTCGGAAATGTTGGCAAGCCACAAGGAAACGCTGGCAAGTCACCTAATTAGAGCCACCTAGTCAATTTAGTGCCGCCGCACCCCTGCGCCCCCGCACTTGAAGGTATATTCAACCTAACTGGCGCTCCAACCTGACCTACGCTTCAATTGACCTGCGATTCAATTGAACGGCGATTGAACTACGATTGAACCTGGATTGAACCTATAGTCTAATTGACCTGCGATTGATTTGCTGTTTGATTTGCAGTTGACCTTGAAGTCTAATTGAACTGTAGTTGAACCTGTAGTCTAATTGACCTGCAATTGACTTGCGATTCAATTAGGCTGCAGTTGAAGCTATATTCAACCTGACTATCGGTTCAATTGACCTGCGCACCTGCAATTGACCTGCGATTCAATTGAACTGCAGTTGAACCTGGATTGAACCTATAGTCTAATTGACCTGCGATTAATTTGCAGTTGTATTCAAGGTCTAATTGAACCTGTATTGAACTGCAGTTGACCTGCGATTGATCTACAGTTGAAGCTGCAGTCTGATTGGACTGCGGTTGATCTACAGTTGATCCAGTAGTCTAATTGAACTGCAACGGACCTGCTGACTAATTGAACCTGGATTGAATCTACAGTCTAATTGAACCTGTATTGAAGAGCTGTTGAAACCGCCGTCTAATTGACCAGCTGACTAATTGAACCTGGATTGAACGACAGTTGAAACAGCAGTCTAATTGACCTGCGATTGACCTGCGATTAGACTGCGGTTGATCTACAGTTGAACCTGCAGTCTAATCGAACCGCGATTGAACAGCAGTTGAACCAACAGTCTAATTGACGTTGTATTGAACCTGCAGTCTGATTGAACGGCTTTTGAACCTGTGGTCTAATTGAACCTGTATTGAATCTACGGTCTAATTGACCCACGATGGATTTGTAGGGACCAGACTTAGGAGGAGTGGCATTGAAGCCGGGAGAGCGGTGCTGACGTAAGCAAGGATGCAGCCAATCAAAGCAAGGGAGGAAAATACCGTGGATTCAACCGTGGGACAGTGGTTTAAGCGCTGTATTCCAGGGCATGTATTAGAATAAAAGGTTCTATTATTTATTTTAATTATTAAAAATTAAATTAATTATATATAAAATATATGAAAAATAAAATATAATAAATAATAAATAATATTATAAATTTATTTATATAATATAATTAAAATAAATAATAAATAAAATATTAATATAATTTAATTTAATTAAATAAATATATATATATAATAATATAAATAAAACATTAAATTTAATAAAAATAAACTTATTATAATAAAAAATAAAAAAATAAAATAAATAATAAAATAATAATAATAATAAAATAAAATAATAATAATAATAATAATAATAATAATAATAATAATAATAATAATAATAATAATAATAATAATATATTATTATTATTTATTTCATAAGTAAATAAATATAATTTATGAAAAAAATATATTATAATAAATAAAAGATAATAAATTATTTAAGATATTAATTATTTTAAATTTAATATTTATATTTATATTAAATAAAAATAAATAATAAATTATATTATATATAAAAAGATTTAAAATAAAAATAATAAATAAATAATTAATTAAATAATTACATAATTAAATATTTATTATTTATATAAAATATTTAAAATATAATAAATTTAAATATAAAAATAATTTATTTTATAAATTTATTAAATATTTATTTATAAAAGAATATTATATATAATATATTATAAATAAAATAATTTAATTAAATAATATAAAAATAATAAATTAAAAAAAATAATAAAAAAATAATAATAAATATAATCTTTAATTATTAAATTTATATTATAATTATAATAATAAATAATGAAATTATTTATATAAATAATATTAAAATTTAAAAATATACATATAAGAAAAACATGAAAATATATAAAAAAATGGTATTATATTTTAAATTTTTAATTTAATGTAAAATATATTATAATATGTAAAATTTTAAAAAATGAAAATATTTAAAAGTTTATTAAAAGAAAATATTTAAAAATTTATTAAAAGAAAATATAAATAAAAGTAATACGAATTTTTTTTTTATATTTAAAATATATAATAATTTATTAAATATTAAATATTTCAAATAAAATAAAAGAATATAATAATAAAAAAATAAAATAAAATAAAATAATTAAATATATAACGTTAATATTTTTTTTAATTCATAAAAGTTTAAATAATTAATTATATATAAAATGTAATAAAACCATTAATATAGAATATATTATAAATAAATTAATAAAATAATATTATTTAATTATAATTATATAAATATATAAATAATAAAATAAATAATAAAATATAATTAAAATT